AGAATATTGCAAGAGTGTGGTGTTTTCAACCCTTCCCACACTCTTGCAATATTCTAAACAATGTTTCTAAACTAAACGCTCTTAAGAGCACGGCGTGTCATGATTTCAGCTCTCTGCCTCCTCTGCTCTCAGCTTCTGCAAGCGCTCTTGGCCACGCCCACTTCTCAGCTCTGCACATGAACATCTGATCAGCTGTTTAACCACAGCAGTAAGGATGTGCATCAGGTGCTAAATAATTTTAAATAATTTATTTTAAATAAAAATTTCATGCTTATCTTGCGGTTCATCCATCAATCAGCCAATTGTGTGTCGTGTCCAAATTTAATATAAAACACTCGCCTATCGCCAGTTGTTCTGGATCTGTGACTAGTAATCAGATTTGGGCCTTTGAGCATAAAGTTTGAGAACCCCTGGTTTATAAAATCATGTTCACATGAATCACCGTGAACTGTTTGAGATTGGAGCCGTTTTATGACGGCAGGAAAACACTTTGGTCCTGTTCAGACTTGTAGCTCATCAATCCTTGAAGGCTTTGACAGTTTGCCCACAAATTCACGTGGATTTAATTTGATTAAAAATATATATAGCTTTATCTGTACAGTATATCTCAACCAGAACATCAAGTCGCTATGTCTTGTGATCGGTGTCTGTCCTTGCAGGCGCTGACTGGCAGCATCAGGGGAACATCCCTGAACACGTCTGCCCCAAGTGCAACGAGATCCTGCCGGACCTGGACTCCCTGCAGATCCACATCATGGACTGCATCAACTAGCCCTCTGTCACCTGCAGCTTTCACAACAAGCGTGGCTGCATCAGCGCCGTTTATACGAGTCTTCCTCCGCTTCCTCTGTCTGATCCCTGACACTCCACGGATCCTGCTCAAGCTCAGCGACGTGGGTTACAGCACTGGAGCGACGCTGCTTTTGGACGATTTTAGCTTTCAGGACCGAGGAGAGACGTGGAGTTTGGCTTTGCATGTTAATAAAACAGCGTGCTGGCTCCAGTTTACTGTACGCCTAAATGTAGCTGCCCATCCTGCACAATAACCAACCAAAGCTGAGCCTTGACAAACGAAGTGCATTAATTTGACTAAATATTTAGTTGCTAAAGGCTTTAAAGATAATTCTCTGTCTTCCTTTTCCGTATAAATTAAAATTCTTGCGTGTATTGTCTTGGTTAGGTACTTTAAGCTCATATTTAGTTTTTTGTGTGAGAGGAGTCTACTTGTTGGATACTTTATTATGAAGTATATATTTGATTTTTAAAGTAATCCTTGTTGGAACCTAATATATTTACAGTGGTAATAATCATGCAGGAAGCTCTCTGCCAAGTCTACACTGTAGGGTACAAAGGTTTGTAATAGTCTGAAGAAAATAAAATCTTTGCTCCTGTCATGTGACACAACCTTAATAAATTAAAAATAAATGTAATGTAATCAATGACTGAACTTCTTCTAAGCTTCTGTAGCTTTTGTTGTCCAGGAACAAAAGTTGCTCTTTGTTCGCTACACTAATGCTCACGTGTGTTTTGAACAAGGTTTACAGTATATTTCAAGACTTGTTTGAACATTTTATACACGCAGGTACTTATTTAAATGTATTTTATTTTAAAGTACATTTGCTTATTAGAATACATCTGTAAATGTATAAATGATATTCTCAGAGTCACAAAACTTGGTTATTTTAGGGTCATTTTGTTGTCTTTACAAAAAACACACAAAAAAAAAACAATATTTTTCCCTGAGTGTTGCCTGGCAGGATCCTCGACGGCGCGACCTGTCAATCAACTCAGAAGGCGTGTCAGTAACTGACCAATCGACAACCTCAATTTGTCCCGAAGGTAAACGCCCCTTACCTGCTGACAAGCTCATCAGGTTTTTTTTCTTGAGAAACATTGTTTTAATTAAAACAATAAGTTTGAATCTGTTATGAGATGATTTTTTAGCAGTTTTGCAGATTTTTAATTTACTTCATGAAGAATAGTACGACTTAAAATCGTTCATTAAACAGGAAGGAGGGATTATTATCTCCTCTTACTACAGTGAATGTGGTACTTTGCCATAAGTACAACTATATTTATGGCATCAGAGAAAGCTGAGCTTCAGTTATCCACATAAAGTAAAATGTCATCAGCATGAAAAGAAGGAATGTTAAGTTTGAGATTAATCCAGTTTCTGATGTTTGACCAAACACTTTGTACTGACATTTAAAAAAATTGCTCAAGGGATTCATCTTGTGATTTACAAAGGGCAACAAATCAACATCAAATTTAAATCTTTGCAGAAACATGGCTACAGGATATATCTTATTTATTATTTTAAAATGATTCTCATTCACTTTAGGAGATTTAGGTCATTTGACAAATTTAGAATGAGCAGAAATCATTATGGTTTTATGATTTATACTGGGAGGTTTCTTGAAGGAATCTTTGTTATAATCAGTAAATCCTTTGTCACAAACATTCATTGATAATCTTATTTCATTTGAAGTCGACTAAGTTACAGTGATTTAATTTTAATTTGTGCATCAAATCGTCACCTTTGAATATATATTTTTAATTATTGAATCAGCTGTTGGTCAGGCTACTTCTTGTTGTGCCATTAACTCTAAAATAGTTACTGAATCAAGTGTTTACTTGTGTAGGTAAAACTAGATGTTAAACAACCATTAAAATACACCAGAATGCAGGAAATGGCATCTACTTTATTCAAAATTTTCTGGGGAGGACCCCCAGACCCCCCCCACCCCATCAGTATGTCTCACCCCCACCCCCACACATTATATATGCTTCTGACATCAGTGTCCAGCACGTTACTAAACAAGTACACATATGGTGTCATGTGGTGTTCAAAGTGCGTTCAACTTAATTCAGTCTTGATGATTTGTGTCAATGAGCATTTGGAGTTTTGTACATAAAAATACACTTGATAGTTAGAATTTTAAGTATATTTACTGTATATTATGGTAATTTATTCTGTATTTTGCCAGATTATGGTGATTCTGGGGTCATGATGATGGGGCCCTTCAAGATTGTTGCCCAGGGTACAGTGAAGTGTTAATCTGGCCCCTGCTTGTAACCTGAATCTCTCACTCTCTGCTCTTTGAATTGAGAAAGCTCCTCGGATGAGGAGCGAAACGTCTTCTGTTACAAATAAAAGCCAGTTGTTTTTGTATTGAACGCTTTTTGAATTCTTCATGTCCTGGATGATTGAGAATCTTCACGAGCATTCAAGATTCTTTATTGTCATTCGCATCACATGTGGTACATGAGGTGGAACGAAATTGTGCACTCAGGGTCCCTGTTACATCCAACAACAGCAAAATTTGTAAAAGGAAACAGTAATAAGGATCTAAGATATAAACTAAGAAATATGCTAAACAAAACAATACGCCAAACAACAGCAGCACAAACATGAGTCTGTGTGAACAGATGAGTACGATTGAATACAGCAGCATGAGATCAGCAGCATGAGATCAGCAGCATGAGATCAGCAGCATGAGATGAGCAGCATGAGATCAGCAGCATGGATAATCGGTAGTACATATCAACAATCAAGGTGGCATTACAGTGATTTTTTTCACAGTTGTAATCCTCTTTAGGGATTCATGAGTCTAACAGCTTCAGGGTAGAAGCTGTTCCTCAGTCTAGTGGTTCTACACTTAATACTCCTCAACCTTCTGCCTGAAGTGCGGGGCAAAAAGTGTGTGTGCTGGGTGAGTGGGGTCCTTCATGATGCAGGTGACTCTCTTCCTGCATCTGGAGGTGTAGATGTCTGTAATGGTGGGGAGGCTGACTCCAGCAGACTTCTGTGCAGCCTCCATGCCACATGTTGATGCTCGAGCACAGGATGCTCTCCACTGCACACCCGTAGAAGGAGGCGAGGACTGAGCCTCCCAGACCAGCTCGTCTCAGCCGCCTGAGGAAGTAGAGTCTCTGATGAGCTTTCTTGATCAGGCTGGAAGTGTTGCTGCCCCAGCTGAGGTTGTCATTCAGGTGCACACCCAAGTACTTGTAGCTGGAGACCACTTCCACTGCAGATCTGTAGCTAGACTCGTCATTGTTTGTGATGCAACCAACCACTGCTGTATTGTCTGCAACATGGGTTGGCAACCATAAATGCTCAAAGAGCCATATGGACCATTTCCCACCGGGAAAAAAAACAGAGTCACAAAACCCCTTTTGACATCTAAAATGAGTTTTTTTAATCAGTTTTTTTTTTTTTACCTGAATGCTATGTATAAAAAACCTGTTGCATTTATGAAATCAGTGAACTACCATAGAGAACACAATTTATTTCTGCATGTAACAAAAAGTTTTTGAACTCCAAAAAAAAGACGCTTGGTTGATGCTTACTTTCAAATATAATACTCGATGTCCATTTGAGTCCTCCTCGTATTTAAGAAATAAAAAATCCAAACAGATTATACACCTGCAGTGAACCAAAAATGCTTCTGTGTTCTGACATCAACAAATATTAAACACTTTTTATTTTAATGATACAAGCGCGCCATTATCTTCACATTTAGAATTACATTTAACCAAACGAACTAACCAAAATAAAAATACATTTAAATTAAATACTCATTTATTTTCCAAAGTCACAGGGAGCCTCAGCAGAAGGATGAAAGAGCTGCGTGCAGCTCCTGAGCCACGGGTTGCCGACCCCCGGTCTGCAAACTTTACAGTATGACAGCCTGGATGGGTAGGTGCACAGACATATGTGAAGTGAGTGAACAGGAGAGGACTCAACACACAGCCCTGAGGGGAGACAGTGCTGAGGGTTATGGTGGAAGAGGAAGTTGTGGATCCTCACAAGACTGTGGCCTGTTTGTTAAGAAGTCCAGGACCCAGTTGCAAATGGAGGGGCTTAGTCCTAGTTTGAGTAGTTTGTCCATCAGGGTCTGGGGTATGACGTGCCAAAACAGACGTAAGCTGGACGTGCAGCGCGCGAGAGTGAAGAGATCAAACAAAATCTATTTTCATTTCAAACTGTTTTATTTGACGTGAAAATGTTATGGATCCACTGTCTTTTTTTTTTCTTGTCCTGCTTCAGTTGCAAATGCCAAACTAATCCCAAACGGAAATTTTAAGTCAAAGACTTCCTTATTGATTTTATTACACTAAATAATTCCCTTCATGTTAAAAAGTTCTTCAGACTTTAAGCATGTTCTTGTGTTACAAATAAGCTCCTCCTTAAAAGTGTAAGGATGGTACCTTTCTGTGGCCCGGTTTGTGTCTGTGTTCCCTCGTGCTCTCTCATTAGTTCTATTAGTGCCACCCGTGTCTCGTCCCAGCTGTTTGTAATCACGTCTCGTCTCGTTCCTGTATTTAAGCCGTCTGTTCAGTCTTGTTCGTTGTCGCGTCGTACTTGTTGGGTCTCCTGTGTTCCCCCTGAGTCTTCCTGGTTCCTTGAGTCTCCTGAGTCCTCCTGAGTTTCCCGTGCCTTCTTCCTATTTCATGTAAGTTTTGCTGCCCCGTCAGCTTGTTATTTTGTACCTTTATCATTAAAATCCTATTTTTGTATTCTGCCGAGTTGAGTCCCTGTTCTGCACTCTGGGTTCGCTCCTTCCTAGCAAATCCTGACAAAAAGGCCTTTTAGGTAGTAATTAACTGATCCGAACATTTAGTATTTAATAATTAATTTTTTACAGACAAAAGCATAAAGTTCACAGATGAGTAAAGAACAATAATTTGTTTTGTCCACAGTGTGATGAAGCTGCTCATTAAAAAAGCTGCTGCCCCTGAGACCCAACCTCAGAACTAATGTAATGTAATGGTATTTTCAGGCAGTTTAAGCTTTCAAATACCTGGTTAGGTTGAGAAAATGGTCACCACCACATGGTTATTTCGTTGGTAACCTAGCAAGCTAGTGGGGATTAGAAACATGACCTTGTAATCTTGTGTACTGCATGAGGAACAAAATGTTTCTGGGTGTAATCTGGCATGCTTGGCTTAATTAGTAATAATGAGTCACCTGGAGGGCAGGGCAGTTGTTGTGTTTAACCTTTAGTGGTTAAACACCTTTAGATAGAAAGGAACCAGTGTTAGCTGTGCCTTTGAGCCCAATGTTTTAATACACCCCTGTAGTTTGTAGCCATTTCATCCTGTTCTAGTGGCGGCCAAGCATGTTCCACATCTGGACCTCACAAGGTGTCTCACCTGTCTGATGGACCTAAGTGGCTTTATTTTAATACTTATATGTGTGTTTAATAGTTCACCTTCATGGATTTTAGTTTTGAGGATTTTAAGCAGCGGTTCAGTTCTTGGTGCCACTTAGGTCACAGGAACTTCTCGCTCTCCTGTACTTTTGGTGTCAACCTCGCTTTTTAGCTTGCAGTGATCTCTTGGTTTGTTATTGTCTCCTTTGGGGCGCTGCTTTTACCTTCAAGTTGTTAAGTTTTTATTGCTGAGCAGTTGGTGGACTGTGTCATTGAGGTATTGTTTGGTCTAAATGTGTATGTTTGCAGGATTAATGAAGTTTGTGACCGTGCTAAACTGCCATATCCTTGATGATAATAATAATAATAATAATGTGTTATGTTGTCATCATTGTATGTTCCCATACAATGGTGAAATTGGCTCTCTGCATTTAACCCATCCACCACCAGGTGGTGCAGTGTGCAGCTGTTGAAAGTGCCCAGGGAGAATTTGGGGTGTGCTGCTCAGAGACACCACAAGATGTACAATGACTGGGGATCGAATTGATCTCGAGTCATGTTAACAATTTTCCAAAACCTGATTCATGATTTTAGTGCAATAAGAAGAGCTGTGCTGCTGTGTTTGTATAAATCAGACAAAAGAGAAAAAGCCCTTTTTAAATAACACCAAACTGCACACTAGACAAATGTCAGACTTATAGAACCTCCTATTGAAACTTTTATTCTGAATAGTCACAAAATGGTGACAAGGGAAAAATGGGATGGGATGTAGAAAAATACACCCCTTAAGGCAGTATATGAACAAGTCACTCAAAAGGCAAAACAACCAAAACCAGTCAGGAAATCCAATACACAAGTCTCAAATGCACCATAAAAGTGAGGGTGACTCCACAGTAAGCCAACAAGCTTGTTCCTACAGTCCATAAACATGCATGTTAACTGGACTATCTAGATCCTCCTAGGTGTGTGTATGTGTGTGATAAACTGCTGTGTCCAGGGTGTACCAGTGGTGTAGTTACTTTTTTCTAATAGTTATACTGTGCTTAGAAAAAGTGGTGTACTCTACATTTTTGTAGTAGGTATACGTGCTTAGAAACCAAAGTACACCGACTAGTGCAATGTAATCATCAATTTATTTTGATTTTTAAGCATATTGAACATTTCAAAATGTATCTGATGCTTATATTTCAATAAATGTACAACAATTGGCTTTGTATTAAAAACATAGAATTCATTTTTCATATGTCTGGGCAAACACACAAGCTCCCTGAGCGCACTGAGGACCACTGAGCAACATCAGATCACTGTGGTCACACATCAGTATCACACTTGTTGAAAACATAGCAAGTTAAATGGCTTATTAAAAGAATCAAATTACAGCAGCAATTTCCATTAGGTTAATTTTAATATAAGTGATTTGGCTCACTTCAAATGAAAGACAAAAATCTTGTGAGATCAGTAGTATGTTAAATGTGAGAGTCCTTCTGTTTTGGGTGAGGGTCCTGCTTCTGGAAGATGGTTAGCAACACGGTGGCCATTGGCGTCAGAAGCATGTTTGTAATGATGGGGGATGTGGGGTACACTTGTGGGGGGGTCTGGGGGTCCTCCCCCAGAAAATTCTCTGTCGGAATCAGCCTCCCCACCATCACAGACATCTACACCTCCAGATGCAGGAAGAGGGCCACCTGCATCATGAAGGACCCCACTCACCCAGCACACACACTTTTTGCCCCGCTCCCCTCAGGAAGGAGGTTGAGGAGTATTAAGTGTAGAACCACTAGACTGAGGAACAGCTTCTACCCTGAGGCTGTTAGACTCATGAATCTCTAACCAGAATAATCACTGTGAAAAAAATCACTGTAATTCCACTTGAATGTTCATATGTGCTGCTGACTATCCATGCTGCTGATTTATTTCATGCTGCTGTGTTCATTCGTACTAATGCTCACACAGACTCATGTTCGTGCTGCTGTTGTTCGGCGTGTTGCTTTTGTTACTATTAGTTTAGCGTATATCTTAATTCATATCTTAAATCTTGCTATTGTTTTCTTTACAATTTATACTTTTGTTGTATGTAACAGGGACCCTGTGTACACAGTTTTGTTCCACCACATGAGAATGACCAATAAAGAAACCTTATTTATGTTAAATAAGCACTTGAACCATTATAGGTACTGCTGTCAGCTTGACAGATTTTAGAAAAAAAAATAGTGCAATTAATCCTTTAGAGTACATCCGCAGGCTTTCTTAAGGTCCTTAAAAGTTTAACATCTTCGTTCTTTACTTTTGTCTGTCATTAAGCTATGACACAATTAGTGGGTGCTGGTGCTGGTGCAGGATGGACAAAATCATCTAGAAGATCTGCACTCCTGTACTGAATCAGGTACTCTGGGTAAATCTGGTGCTTCTCAAACACCACAAATATTGAGGGGTTTAGGACATTGTCCACACAGCTATCGTAAAAGTTTACGTCTCCGCCATCTTTAGATGGAGGCCTGACGTAGCTGAAGACTCCTTTGGTGTAGCTTCCCACCAGCACCCGGGAGACGAACATGGCTCTGACAACAGTGTTGCCGGTGTAGGAGTGGGAGTAAGTGGCATCTCGGGCAAAGTAACTACCTGGGAATAAAAGCACAAAATTGACTGAGAAAACGTGCCAAAATCCGTTGAAACAAGTAAAAAAAAGCAGCAACTTGTAGAGCCAAAGACCAAGTGAGGCTCCCTCAGGAAGTAACGAGTTAGTCAATTGTCATAGAACTTGTTAAAATTAAAGATGCAAACAAAATTACTTTTATCCATTTCATAAAACTCACTATTGGAAGGACTGACCTAGTTTCCTTGGATTCTCAGACAATATGTCACCTGCGAGTCATATTGGGCTCAAAATACCTAAGATGATGGTCAGAAGATACGACAGTGACGGCATAGATGGTACATTTGTCTCTTAAAAACACATTTTCCTTCAGCTATTGGTTGTCTGCAATGTTTAACCCACACAAAAGATTTTAGGAGAGATTTTCATTCTTGTTCTGTTGCCTTGTTGTTGATTCCTGACAGTTTCCAAATGTTCTCCATGCCCACATTTTAGCCCCCCCCCCCTTTTCCACCATTCACTTTGATATTCCTAGTCAGCTGACCTGTTTCAACTTTTCCAGACACCTCTCCCAACATACATGTTTCTGTTATACCTACTCAGTCTGGAATCCAAATAATTTTGATTTTCTAGATTGTGGTATATTTGGTTTTTGAATATAGTTCACTTTGCCTACATTCTATCCTCCAGTTCTGTTTTAATTGGTACGTTAATTACAAACCGGATTCCAAAAAAGTTGGGACACTAAACAAATTGTGAATAAAAACTGAATGCAATGATGTGGAGGTGCCAACATCTAATATTTTATTCAGAATAGAACACAAATCACAGATCAAAAGTTTAAATTGAGAGAATGTATCATTTTAAGGGAAAAATCTGTTGTTTCCAAATTTCATGCAGTCAACAAATCCCCCAAAAGTTGGGACAAGTCCATTTTTTACCACTGTGTGGCATCCCCCCATCTTCTTACAACACTCAACAGACGTCTGGGGACAGAGGAGACCAGTTTCTCAAGTTTAGAAATAGGAATGCTCTCCCATTCATGTCTAATACAGGCCTCTAACTGTTCAATCGTCTTGGGCCTTCTTTGTCGCACCTTCCTCTTTATGATGCGCCAAATGTTCTCTATAGGTGAAAGATCTGGACTGCAGGCTGGCCATTTCAGTACCCGGATCCTTCTCCTACGTAGCCATGATGTTGTGATTGCTGCAGAATGTGGTCTGGCATTATCGTGTTGAAAAATGCAGGGTCTTCCCTGAAAGAGATGACGTCTAGATGGGAGCATATGTTGTTCTAGAACCTGAACATAGTTCTCTGCATTAATGGTGCCTTTCCAGACATGCAAGCTGCCCATGCCACAAGCACTCATGCAACCCCATACCATCAGTGATGCAGGCTTCTGAACGGAGCGTTGATAACAACTTGGGCTATCCTTGTCCTCTCTGGTCCGGATGACATGGCATCCCAGTGTTCCATAAAGAACGTCAAATTATGACTCATCTGACCACAGAACAGTCTTCCATTTTGCCACACTCCATTTTAAATGACCCCTGGCCCAGTGCAAACGTCTGAGCTTGTGGAGCTTGCTTAGAAATGGCTTCCTCTTTGCACTGTAGAGTTTCAGCTGGCAACGGCGGATGGCACGGTGGATTGTGTTCACTGACAATGCTTTCTGGAAGTATTCCTGAGCCCATTCTGTTATTTTCTTGACAGTGGCATTCCTGTTTCAGGTGCAGTGACGTTTAAGGGCCCGGAGATCACGAGCATCCAGTAGAGTTTTACGGCCTTGACCCTTACGCACAGCGATTGTTCCAGATTCTCTGAATCTTTTGATGATGTTATGCACGGTTGATGATGATAACTTAAAAGTCTTTCTATTTTACGCTGCGTAACACCATTCTGGTATTGCTGCACTATCTTTCTGTGCAACAATGGTGGAATTGGTGATCCTCTTACCATCTTGGCTTCTGAGAGACACTGACACTCTGAGAAGCTCTTTTTATACCCATTCATGTTGTCAATTGACCTAATTAGTGTTAATTGGTCTTCCAGCTGTTCGTTATATGCTCAGTTTCTTTTTTCCAGCCACTTATTGCTACTTGTCCCAACTTTTTTGGGATTTGTTGACACTGAAATTTTGAATCAACATATTTTTCCTTTAAAATGTTACATTTACTCAGATTAAACTTTTGATCTGTCATCTATGTTATATTACGAATAAATTATTGACATTTGCCATCTCTACATCATTGACTTCAGTTTTTATTCACAATTTGTTTAGTGTCCCAACTTTTTGGAATCCGGTTTGTAAATATTTTCTAATTTTTTTACAAATTTACTCTAGCAACGTGTTAACTGATTGAAGTATCTAGTACAGTACATTTTCTGCAACCTATTTATTGAGATACAAGCTGTAACTAGAGAAGTTTCATTTCCTGAGAAAATGCATTGTGGATGCTTATTGCAGTTTTTTTTTTTTTTTTTTGCTGAAAGCTGCTGAAGTCGAAACCAGTTGAAAATATTTAATCCCTGAACTGTTAATGCAAGTTCAATTTGAATAGTTGACATTTGCTGAAAGCAGGAAAATAAAAGCAGAAAACAGAAAAAATATGTAAAAAAATAAAACAAAAATCTGAAATAGACAGAGACAGGCTGAATAGATTACAAAAAAATATTTCAATGAGAAGAAAAAAGCTAAAATTAGCAAAAGAAATGTAGTTGGACAGCTAAAAAGAAGCAAAAATTTGCAGAAAGCGCTGAAAGGAGCATAAACAGTTAAAATTATTCAAAAGAATCACAATAGGTGGAAACTAGCTAAAGAAAATAGCAGAAAAATACCCACCCCCCAAAAAACCCCAAACAAAAAACAATAAAAATAAAAAATAAATATAATATATTCATTTTTTGAAAAACTGAAATAAGCAGAGAGAAACTGAAAAAAGAACAAAAGCTGAAATGAGCAGTAAAAGGCTGCAAATGGCACCAGGATGTGGAGAGAGCTCCATTCATTTTCGATAAGAAGAACATGGCAGAAAAAGATAAATATTTCAAGAAGTGAAAATTGCACAAATACCAAGTCACAGCAGGAATGTCCTGAAGAAGCTGAACAATTTGACGTATAAATTGTTGAAATAGCACAAAAATTGCAGAAAGAATTTTGTGCTGGAAAAACATAGTGAAGAAAAACTGATCAGTGAGAATGACTTATAAACATTCATACAATAAGTGTAATAGTAATTTTTTATGCATGGGGCTATATTGGATTTTGTAATCTTGGTCTAACTTGATCAAAATTTTGACTTCAAGGAGCGTTTCAGTTGATTTCTCCAACTTGAAACTCATATTCTGCCTTCAAAGTACAAATGAAATACACCATAAGGACAAAAGGTTAAGCACATTTTCTCTGTGGTTTAATGCAGCTCACAGTTTATTCTCAAACCTCAGAGCTCATATTTAAACTCCTTGACTCACCTTTGCCATAAACTGTCCCATGAGACCCACAGATCCTCCAGTCAAAGTTTTTGAGGCAGATGGCTTTAACATGGTTGGAGTCGGTGCCGTGAAAAAGTTGTCTTTCTGTCACGTCACTTCCACCACTGTTGTTCTTCATCAGATTCTTCTGCCTTCAGTTAAGAGACACACACTTTAATCAAAAACAGTCACGTTCATACATTTGCTAATGTTAGGTTTGAGCTTTTGTAGTGGAAAACTATAACATTTTGTAAGTGTTTTTAAAAAGGTACAAAAATGTGACAATTGAAACACTTATTCAAATTGAAAACTGTAAAAAAAAAAAAAAAAAAAAAAACTTGCGTACCACTGGAAGACTTCCCACAGTGCTTTATTTTGGATCCGTTCAATCGTGACGATATTAAAGCCTTGCATGGTGGAACAAAAAAGAGCTTTCACCTTTTGATATTCATCTGAAGTGCGATTGAGGGCGACTCGCTTAAAAAAACAACACACAAAACGGGAAACATTTCAGTCACCTACAGGATTATTATTATTATATATATTTTATTTGTAATATTTTGGATGGAGCACAAATCATTTTTTTTCCTCGCTCGCTATCGTGCAAGATGGACACATTTCTTCCCTCTCCCGTCCTCCTCTAGCTTTTTTTCCTCTCTGTCTTGTGTATTGGAGCTCCTATTTACACATCTTCCGAAACGAAAACTACTGTAATGGATCTGGTCAGCTGGACTTTCAACGCAATCGATAAAACCTTTTCAACAAAGCGACAGGGTCCTGGAGAACCCTCATGCCCCACTGAGACACACGCGGCAGGATACGTCCGGAAACTGATGTGCCTTTCCGTATTGTCTCAGGAAGACACTGAAGATGTTTGTATAATTGGAATCATTATAGCAGGGTTTCTGCTTTTTGGCACCTGCAGATACCTATGTTATCGGCTATTGAAGACGACGGCAGCAGCAGTTTTGGCCATGGCAAAACTTGAGTCTGTGTGAAGGTTTGGTTTGCGCTTCGAGCACTCAAAATCATCTGATTTACGAGCTAAACCATAAGATGGAAGCAATTTATGTGAATCGCAGGCCACCTGCAGCTTCTGGGACTCGCCAGCATGTTGCGGAGGACCTTGGAGTTAGCGCATAAGCACGGACCAATGGAATGCCCACATATCTGACCATTTTAGATCAAAAATACCAGCAGAAAAGTCTGACGAGAAATAAAAGTCTGCCTGAAAAAAATCAACATTTGGGCTTATCTGAATCGGACTCCCCCGTTTGGCCTCGAAGCAGGCCAACTTATCAAATTTCTCCTGGGATATGTGTCAACTACGGAAAAGCTCTTGTCTATCGGAACACCCCACCCCCACCCTAAGAACTTCTGTGAATGTTTATTAGAGCTGTACCAGCTGACACCAACATCTTATCAGGACTATGGCCTATCTGAAAGTGTTTCATGGACAAATCTCACCTTCTTGCCGTCAAATGCATATGTAATGTGTCTATAAATGTGCTTGTTGGTAGAGTGTTTTGATGTCTTAAATCGTGTCCTGATAAGGACAAGATGTGAAGAGATCTTTATTTATAATACCACTATCTATGGCCTTTTCCCCTTTTCCATCTCAGGCTCTCAGGAGCAACAGCAACGTGAACTCCGCCCATCTTTCGGACAACTGTACGAACATAATCTCACTGTATCTCGGTACAATGATAATAAAGCTTATTCTGATTCTGCAATATTACCATACTTTGCCAGGGACCAACAGAAACTGACCCCAACAAGTAAGAAAAATGTTAACCTGGTCTATCATCATGCAACCCCCATACAAAAATACATCTAAATAAAAACTGTGTGTATTAGTTGCTTTTATATAAAAGGGGGGCTGCTGCCAATGTGGGTGCAAAGCTGGCCAAGGCAAATTTTTGTGGGTGAAAGTGGTACAGGGATATTTCTGGAATAAAGCTACTTCTTTTTACCCATAAAGCGTACAAAGTGACGAAAGCTACAAAAGAATGATTTGGCAGAAAGAGAGAAACTGACTTGGAGCTGCCACTATGCTTCTATCCACTAAAGTCAAAGGTCAACCGTTCAGCGAGCCACAGGGTAAAAAGGCAGAACAGGAAAAAAGAAACTCCATTGTGTTTTTTAAAATATTGTGTATTCATAATACCGAAACGCCTGTTTGAGAAATCTGTGTCTTGTCCCAGTTGTCTGGCACAGAAGTGAAATTTGAAGGCTTTCTGCAGGAGAAAAAAAATGTTTAGGATTAGTCTCATTGTGACTTGGATTGGGGGGGGGGGAAATAAAAGGTCAAAAACGTATTTGAGACCATTGTAAAGATGTACATTAGCTTTAAAACCTCTGTTTCAAATCATTCATTATATTGCTTTTTTTAATAATTGATGATCACTTTTCACCATAAATGTATGTATACTGATTGAGTGATAATGAAAATATTTAACAAGTTTTTTACGAAGCAAAAATGATGCAACATGTTATGAAATACAACAATCCAATGTATCACTGGAACTCTGTAGAACATCATAATGAATTATTAAAGTCAAGTCTGCACAGAAGAGAAAACTGTAAACTCTACAAGAGGTCTCATTTATTTATGTTTTAGGATGCCTACCTCACTTTCTTGGTTTCGACATCTTCAGCAGAGACAAACCGAGGACGCCTGCTAACAAGTTTCTTAGTGCGGTAATGCTTGTTTGTTTGAATCATATCTAGGAGAAAATGCATATTAGTTTTATTTTTAATCAAATACAGAACATCTGTTATAGATGGTTTGCTTACCCTGAAAACTCAGTGAATATGACTGTGAGCCCGCAGTAAAATCCACAGTTTTATCGTTGTCCAGAAACCTCTGCTCAAGCTTCGAACTGTTGACATCTGCTGATCCGTGTCCTTGGCTCTGCAACAAGGGAACGGCAAGTCAGCACTTTGACAATAAATTAGAACTGCAGTTTTTGCACTATCAACTTGAAATTAAAATCAAATACGTGTTTATTTTAAACTTAACACAGGTTGAACAAAGATTTAATTTCTAGATGAATTTGGAAGGTTTTGACGTTTATCACCCATTTGTTTTACCAAAGCCAAATAATGTAAATTTACTCACACGGCAACCAAATGACTAATTTGAAAATTGTATGAAATTTGTTGAACAAGCTTGTTTTGATCCAGATTTTCTTCAAAATCACATGTATATTTTATTTTAATATTTGAAATCTAGTAATATAATTTTTTTTAGATTCATATAATCTTCTTACCCGCTATGCAGATGATGTGTTGATCTTTATTAATAATCCCTTCAATGGCTGTGCTAGCCTACTGAAAGTATTTGGCTTAAAAGTCTTTCTACTTTTAAAGTTAATTATTAAAGGCAGGTCAAATGATTACAAAAAGCAGAAAACCAGTCGGAAATAAATGTTCACAGCATTGAATAAGTTTAAGAGCGCAAGGACAATTTTATTTCTCAAAGAATATTTAAGTATGTTGCTAAATTCACATCTTTTTGAAAAAGGTTAACCTTGATCACTTTTGACTCAGACATTAGCTACAGTGTAGAAAGATTTGATTTAGTGGGCCAATAAGACCCATTAAGACTCCCCTATATTAAACAGTACATATTTTTAGTATTTTGATTAGCTAGACTAATGAAAAGTCCCATCTCTGTTGAGCCATGTTTCCCTACAGTTTTAAGCAGCGATGAGTTCAAGAGATTCTTTATAAATAAAATTCCAACTAGAGAGAAAATTCATACCATCTTTCCTACTATTGTCTCTGATTCTCTGTCAGATGAGGCAGCTTTAGAAATGTTACTAGAACCTGATTTATGTTTGAACTGTTTTTGTCCTGTTGACATCTTTGAATTGTCAAAAATAATAGCTTAATCCAAACCATACACATCTGCTAGATCCCATCCCAACCAGATTGTTTAAAGACATATTTCCCCTAATTAATATCCCCATTCTGAATCTGCTTAATTTGTCTTAGAGTAATTATCTACCACAGCACTTTAAGATTGCTGTAATTAAACCTTTACTTAAGAAACCTGATCTTGATTCAGGAATACTGGCCAATTATAGATGTATATCTAATCTAACTTTCATCTAAAAAATTCTAGAGAAAATAGTTGCAGGTCAGTTGCGTGAACATCTACAAAGAAATAATCTGTTTGAAGAGTTTCAGTCAGGGTTTAGAGCTTATCATAGCACAGAAACAGCACTGGTGAAAGTTATCAATGATATTCTCATGGCCTCAGACAATAGACAGGTGTCTACACTTGTTCTGTTAGACCTCAGTGCTGCATTTGATACAGTTGATCATAATATTCTACTACAGAGGCTTGAATATGATATTGGGATTGCAGCTCTAAAATGGTTTGAAATCATATTTTTTGACAGAGTCCAGTTTGTAAATGTAAATAAGGAATCATTTTTGGACACCAAAGTCAGTTATGGAGTCCATCAGGGTTCAGTGCTTGGACCAATACTCTTTACTTTATATATTCTTCCATTAGGTAAGGTTATTAAACAGCATGGGATAAGTTTCCATTGTTATGCTAATGACACAGTTATATTTGTCCATGAAACCCAATGAATCCAATCTTAAGATTGGAAACTTAGACTACAAGCATGTCTACAAGACATGAAAACCTGAATGACCCTTAATTTTCTGCTTTTAAACTCAGACAAGACATAAATTGTGGTTTTGGGACCTGAGCATCTTAGGAATAAATTTTGCAGCATTTCACTTCCTCTGGATGGAATTAATTTGGCCTCCAGTTCTAATGTAAAAAAAAACTTGGTGTTATTTTTAATTAGGATATGTCTTTTAACCCCCACATTAAAAAAAGATACCAAGATTGCTTTCTTCCACCTGCATAATATCACTAAGATTAGAAACATCTTGTCCAAAGATAATGCAGAAAAACTGGTCCATGTATTTATCATGTCTAGGCTGGACCATTACAACTGTTTATTATCTGGGTGTCCAAAAATTATTTAGTTTTCAGTTGTTACAAAATGCTGTTGCAGAGTTTTAATGAGTTAGTAGGAGAGATCATATCTCCCCAGTTTTAACTTCTCTCCATTGGATGTCAAATTCATAAGAGAATTCAAAATCTTACTTCTAACCTACACAGCTCTCAACAATCTGGCTCCATCTTATATTACAGATCTTATTGTTCCATATTTTCCTAACCGAACACTTTACTATCAGACTGCAGGTTTACTCGTGGTTCCTAGAGTTTCCAAAAGCAGAATGGGAGGTAGAGCTTTCAGTTATCAGGCTCCTCTCTTGTGGAACCAACTTCCAGTTTCTGTCTGTGAGGCTGACACATTGTGCAGCTTTAAGACTGGGTTTAAGACATATTTTTGATGATTCCTAGAGTTGGGATCAGCTTAGGTTTCCTGACTGCTATCCCTTAGTTATGAAGCTATAGCTATAGGCTTAGACTGCTGGTGGACAAATTGACCATTTCCTCACTCTGCTGCTGTCTTGCTCTGCTGTACTTGTATTTGTTATTATTTCCATCCTTAACATGTCATTTGTTTTGTCTTTCTTCCTATAGAATGTACATCTGAACCTGCCAATCTATGTTTGTCGGTTTCTACTTCCTGTCCTCTCAAACCCCAGCTGGTCGAAGCAGATGGCCGCTAGTCCTGAGCCTGGTTCTTCTGGAGGTTTCTTCCTGTTAAAAGAGAGTTTTTCCTTTCCACTGTTGCGTTTGTGCTTACTCAGTATGTGAGACAGTGATGAAGTCACGATTCGACGCAATCTGCCGCTTCCTTAGATGATTTTTACTAACTGGCTTTTACGATGTATGTGAATGTTTTTGTTCAGTGCCCTGAGACGACTTCTGCTGTGACTTGGTGCTATAGAAATAAACTGAATTGAATTGATCCATGTATTTGGTAAACCAGTCATCTAAGTATGTACAAATATCCAGGACACTTAATCACGCTTCCACTCAGCTATATTGTTCAGAAATTATATGCATTTCATTACTCACATCTGCACCGTACAGTTTCCACCTTCCAAACTCATCCTGCCAGTACCAGAGCCACTCTGTAGTGTGGATAAAGTCCGGCTTAACCAGAGAGTTTGGAGTTGAGAGTCGTCGTACTACGTTCTGTCTACAGGTCATCGTGTAAAAATCCACGAGCGGGATGCTGCTGCTAAAGGAGGCAAAGTCAGAAACAAATATAGTGATAATATTATATATTCAATGACAAAACATATAATAACATTTACTTTGTTATAACACTGAGTTTAAAGGGTAGTCTCTGTCCACCACTTTTGTTGTCAGACTACCTGTGTGTGTTCTTGGGGTCACAGTAGTCCTTCTCAATTGTCTCGTTATGAGGCAAAGCAGTCCAGCGATCCCCTTCCTGAACCTGCCATCTGTACGGCATCTTGTCATGTAATTTAATACATTGATCTGAAAACAAATCAGGCATATCCAAGAAGGTTCTTCAGCACCACTAAAAAGGTTTCAGTAGGTCATTACTCACTCTCGTGCTTACAGTATCCTTTAATGTAGTACATGCATATCTCGGTTTTATCTAGTGGAAAAAAAAATAAAAGCAAAATTAGGTTATTTTACATCATTCTTAAGTCGTTTCATTCTTCCTTGACAACTTGGGTATTTACCTTTGAAAGGAATTATTTTTTTCTGCACAACGCCATTAATTCCATCTTTGCTGCAGACAGCAGCAGAGGTATCCGCAGTGGAACAGGATCCACGAAGCTGTTGGTTGTCCTGTTTGTCCCCTGTGACAGCTGAGGTTTGATTCCGGTCCTCTGCCTGCTGCCTACTCTGATCACTGCTCATATCGGTGTCTTTGCCAACATCTGAGGCAGTATTTTTGGATGAGTGAAGATCTTGCAGTTGATTGTCCCCTTTGTTCAGCCCATCTTTGCTGTCTAGGTCTAAGCTACCAACCTTGGCCACGTCGTCACTAAGGGTAGATATCTGCGGCTGTAGTGATGTTCCTACATTTCTCTTGTTCTCCCCTGTGCCTTCGTTCCACTTCCTCTGTTCTACATTTAAACCATTGTTTTCTGCATTGGTGCGTTTACCAACAGCAGAGACGTCACTGCCGAGTGAATTAAAATATTGCTGCTGATTGACTCCTTCATTTAATCTTTCTCTGACCTCTAAGGTGTCACTGCTTGCAAGGACATCTGGAGAAGCAGTTTGGTGCTGCAGCAGTGGTTTCTCGAGGTTTGCTCCGTTTTCTTTTGCTCTGCCTTGGTTCTGTTGTTGCTGTTCAACATTGAAACCATTGTCGTTTTTTGCATTGGTGTCTTTGCCAGTAACATATACTGGTACATCACCGTAGGGTGAAGTAAGATCTTGCTGCTGAATGACTTCTTCATTTAATCTTTCTCTGACCTCTAAGGCGCCACTCCTTCCAAAGACATCATTAGAAGCAGTTTGGTGCTGTTGCCATGGGTTACCAAGGTTTGCTTCTTTTCCTCTGCTCCCGTTGGTGTCTCTGTGCTGACCGTCACCCTGTTTGCCACCTCTCCTGCTTCGGTTCCTCTGCCTCCGTTGCACATTCTGTTTGTCACGACTTTCTGCGATGGTGTCCTTCGTAGCAGCAGACAGATCACTGTTGGATGAGTTCAGGTCTTGTTGCAGAGCCAAGTCATCAGTTGCACCCAAGCTGCTACAGGAGAAGGTTGGCTGTGGCTGCGGCTGTTTTCCTCTGTTTACACTGTTCCATTTATGTCCCCCGTGACCTTTTTTGCCACCTCTTTCTCGCCCTCGCACATGCCTCTGGTCTAAATTTGCGCCTACCTCATTTGTTGCATATGCGTTTGGAGCGACAGAGCTACGTTTCATAGAGATTCTCAGGGCCTCGTTGTTGGCATAAATGGACCTTAGGGAGGATATGAGGCTGTGGGGCACCCCTTTATCATAGAGACTTTTTAATGGCTGGGGAGCATAAAAATCATGGGTTTTGGAGCAACTGCAGTCTTGGCTCAAGTACTTCTTACAGATGTGGAGTTTGGCACAAGCTATACCACTCTGACACTGGCCAAACTCATCGTTACCAGTATTGTACTTGTAGCAAATCTGGTAAAAAGTAGTAAAGACAATATAAACCACAAAGGTATAATTATTATTGCTTCATAGTTGTAAAGAGAACGGTACTTACAGGAGGTAGGAGTGAGTTGTCACTCTGGAGCATCAGAGTGCTCAACTCTGCCCTGTTTAAACCCTCCAGCTCGTGTTGTTTCAGTAACCGCTGGTTGTAGCAAAAGTTCAAGTCATGGCAGAAACTGCAGACTCGTCTGTTATCACAAAATTTTATACAAGTCATTTGTGTTATCGACAAAGACAATTTAGATGTTCCTCGGTTAAATTGTAGCAATATTGCAGCTTCCCTCAAATGTTAAAGCAGAACACCAGCAGAACTACAAAGAGTAGTAACCTGGAGTTTATTTGCATTTGAAAATAATGGAAGCATTTGAAACAAAGGAAAAAAAAATCAGTTTTTTAAAATATTTATTATTATTATTATTATCAGGCCTGTCACGATAACAAATTTTGCTGGGCGATTAATTGTCTCAGAAATTATTGCGATAAACAATAATATTGTTTGAAATTTGACAATAATTATTAATTAGTGATTATTGATTGTCTATTGTTGTTGTTGTCCACTGTTGTCATCACTCTTTGTTAAAATCAGGTCTCTCTTGTAAATGAGTCCTCGAGGTTCAATGGGATTAAACTGTCTAAATAAAGGTTGAATGAATTGTAAAATTTAAGAAGAAATGTTGGTTATTTTGAGTTTAGTACCTTTTGTCGACCACTGAATGGCAGTATAAGACCATTTGAACCGAAGGATGGATAGTGAGGGAGCAAGCAGCGTGTCTTTAAGAAAAATGGGAGGGAGGCTCCTTGACGTGACATGGGCTTAATGTTGCCAGGTGTACGATACTTATCGTATTTGTACGACAATTTTGCCCTCTGTACAATCAGTAATCCCAAAAAAGGCCAAATATATGATAATTTGACCATTCCGTGAATGTGTGGTTGTAATCAGTTGTCATCAGCCTCTCGCAACTGTCTGTCGGAGTTTTTTTGTGAACCCTGAAGGCATCTGTGTCCGCAAACAGATGCACGATTGACTGGAAATTCCAGCCAATCGTGCTTTTGTAAATGTTACCTACGAGTGATGTGTTTGCGTTTGCCTCAGAACAACGGCCATGATTGGCTGAATAGTCTGCTGCGCCCGCCCCATGAGTGAGGAAAAGAAAAGAAGAAGCAGAGTCGGTCTGGAAGTGGACCCATCACTACTATAGTGCATAAATAGATTTGTTATTCTGGTTATGACCGGTGTATGATAATTTCCCTCAAAATACGATAATTTTATGTCTCTAGTACGATAATCCTACATTTCTCACCTGGCAACACTGCATGGGCTGTCTCTCATTCATTTTTTTTTTGGTTCTCAAAAAGGCAGACGCCCAGTGTGGTTTGAGCTCTTTAGCATAGCATTTTTCACACAAAGCTTTTAATAAAATATAAGCAAACAAGTTCTCAGCTTCTTTTTACAGCGAAAAACAACTTTTTAGATGAAGGCATGAGTTTCAGCTGTGAATTTTTGGAGTTTTGACAAGACAGAGGTTTTTTCCTGAGGTTGGCCTGTTAGCTTAGCTCGTAGCTTAGCTTCTCAGCTTAGCTGCTTTTAATGATCCAAAAACGCAATTTTGGACGATGAAAACAGATTTTTAAAAGAAAAGAGAAAGGGAGGGGTCAGTGAAGAGCACCAGAGTTGAGCTTTTTGTCATCCAGTGTCTTCAGTAGAAAGAGACACAAAGAAACGATAAAGCCGATAAATGAATATGAGGTCGATAATTTTCATTTATCATGCGACTAATTGATTTATTATTTATCGCGACAGGCCTAATTATTATTATTATTTAGGATTTGTCAGGATCAGTTTAACATAGGAAAATATATTTTAAAATATATTGTAATGACGCCAGGACACGACAGGTAGAAGTCCCACCAACCGGGTTTATTAGTCATTGAAAACCGAGCTGCTATTTCTGAGGCGCAGCTCACACCTGCAACAAACCGTAGCGCTCCCGAACTAGCCTCCCGCTAACACACTCGAACTCTCCCCTCTCCCGGTCCTCTCCTGCTGCTCCCCTGATCCCCCGCCCACATGACAGATCTCTCACATGTGAGTGGGAGTCCAGCAGAGACAGTCAGGGGAAGCCTACAACTTTATACACATCACCATAAAGATCACAATGAACACAAAACTAATACACATAACCATAACGACACGAGCAGAACTAAAACACAGAATCGCTACAATATGCTTGACTGTTTTTCCCTCCACAAGACCTGAGGGTTAATGTATACATACTTAAAAATGCCTACATTGAGGATGAAAGCATTTGAAGTATGCGGACATTAAATGAACAATGCTTTCCTCATTCTTTGTAACTAAAATGGCTGTAGCTACATATATACTGAACAAAAATATAAACACTTTTGTTTTTATTCCCATTTTGCATGAGCTGAACTCAGATCTAAGACTTTTTCTACATACTCAGCTTTTTTCTCTCAAATATTCACAAATTTGTGTTAATCCGTGTTAGTGAGCACTTCTCCTTTGCAAAGATTATCCATGCACCTCACAGGTGTGGTATATCAAGATGCTGATTAGACAGCATGATTATTGTACAGCTGTGCCTTAGGCTGACCACAATAAAATGCCACTAAAAAATTTTAGGGATGGGGCTGATCCGATCCGATATCGGCCTCTGATACCAGCATAATTTGCGTATCGGAGTTTTCCGATCCAACCTGTAGAGATTTCTGGTCCATGATGCATGTCTGTGTCTGCTGAAAGTCTCCACATGTGATTCCCTGCCAGCTGCTGTGCAAGTTGGCTTCAAACTGTGGAATGGATTTCCAGAACGGAGGCGTGTCTCATGAGCCCAGAGTAATAAGACCCGCCTCACATTCAGGAAATCCATTTCATAGTTTGCAGCCAGCTACAACGTGAGCAGAGCAGCACTGTCGCTAACGGCTAACCAACTTTTCATCTAAACATGTCCGCGGTGTGGAAGTATTTTACTCTGAACACCGCGAAACAGCAGCACGCAATGTCTGCAGAGCCACTGTACCGAGAGGGGGAAGCTCAGTCGCGACCTACAATACATCGAACCTAAACATTTGAACAAGCACCACATTAAAGCGCACGAGGATTGTTTAGCCAGGCACCGCAGTAAAGTTAGTTTTACGTTGCGCGTTCGAGCTCCGTGGCTTCAGCGGCGTATTCCTCTCGTTCAGTCCGAAGCAGGCAGTCTGATTTCGGTCAGCTGCGCTCAGTCTGCCCGTCTTGGAGGAGGAGCAGACTAAGCAGTGTTAGTAGTATTATTACTTAGTATTTTTAGTATGTTTTTAGTATTTTTTTGCTGCATGCTTTGATACTACTTTTTTTTTGGCGAGTCGAGACTGTTCTTCTCATCCTAAGTATTTAATTGCATTCTTGACCTTGTGTTGATTTTGCATATGACAAATAAACCTGAACCTTTATACAGAGGGAAGTCTGTTTTCATGGAAAAATGGAGGGAGAAGCAAATATCGTCACTCACTCATTTAATGGATGAAAATGGTAATCTATATGAATATGAAGATTCATTGAAATAATATAATCAAATTTCTACGAAAAGAGACTATTGGGGTGGAGGGGTTAGGATGCGTGAGAGAAGTGGAGTGTGCTCTATTCACACAAGGAGAGCTGTTGGTCAGGCTACTTCTTGTTGTACCATTAACTCTAAAATAGTTACTGAATCAAGTGTTTTTTGTAAACTTAGATGTTTAACCCATTAAAATACACCAGAATGCAGGAAATGGCATCTACTTTAGTCATAATTTTCTCTGGGGGAGGACACAATTTTGTCAACAAATACTTGAGAGATAAAAGCCCTGAAAAAGGCCTTTTGGGTACAATGAAGAAGTCTTAGATCTTTGAGTTCAGCTCATGAAAAATGGGAGCAAATTCAGTGTATGAAAACCACACCTGAATGTTCTGCTTATGTAACATGGGGTCATTTCACTAGCTGTAAACACTGGACAACAAAAGTTTTTTTTTTTTTCCTCACACAAACGTCTACAAATACATAAAATACAAAAAACAAAATATTTGGAAGGAATTGACTTGTCTTCTTTTTTGTATCCAGGAAATAAAAAGTTAGCATGATTAGCATCTGACCCTGTTTAAAACTATCTTTCTAAATTAAAATAAAATTAAAATGACATAACACAGTTTAATTTTGACAAAAGTTACAAAAGAGCAGCAGCTCTTTGTTTCATGATTAGGTTTTCAAAACATTAACTGTTGAGGGAAAAAACGAGTTTCTCATCAGTACCTGAACGCACCGCGGGAGAAAACCCTTTAATAACTGCTTATAACCAAACATGGACGTAAACAAGATAACTTAAGGCCACCAACACATTATTTCTAACCCATATAAGAACAAACATGCTCACCTCTGACACAGTCCGGTGAAGAGGAAGTTTTTGCACAGATGCAGCTGTTCGCACGTCCCAAAGCAGTCTCTGACTCGGCACAGCTTCAGGCTGGTCTTGGCCACCACTTTCTGCCGCCCGTTTGAAGAATGTAAGACAAAATGATGTTTGTTCGCAATAACCTTGTCGGCGGACGCGCCCGGGAAGAGATTAAACATCACATCATCCGCATCTACTGCTCCTTGGTTGGCGCAGATGAACTTCAATAACTCTGAATCCATCTCTTTCAGGCTCGGTTTGCGTTTCTTTCCACCTGAGATCACCTTTGACCTGACAGCGCGTGCCAACAGGACGCGGCTCCGTTTGAGGGCGGACGGAAAGTTCAGTGTCGTTTCAGCCAGGGCTCTGGTTTCAGCTGATTAGAAACCGAAACTGAACTATTTTTAGCAGATCAAGTTGTAAGAGCCGCTGTTTTCCACCTGGGGGCGACATCGCGCAGCGTAAAGCAGGGCGTCAAACTCAATTAAAAACTTATTTCAAACCAAGGGCCAACTTCAGTCATTGTGACCTCCAGTTAGATACCCACCATCTTTTCTTGGCTGCAGGTTCCTCAACAAATTTCCCTGGTCTCATTTGGACTTCTTTGTCACTTTTACTGCAACAAAATCAAAGATTATGGAAAAATTCAAGCTGTTTTTTCTTGGCTTCAAAGTTGTCCAACTGTCACGAGAAGTCTTAACTAAAATAGGCTCAGTTTTGAAGTAAAATGAAAAGCAAAAAAAAAAAAAAATATATATATATAATTATTTTAGGGGCAACAGGCAGCACGGTGTCGCAGTTGATAGAGCTGTTGCCTCTCAGCGAGAAGGTCGCCGGTTCAAATCCTGGCTGGGGACTGTTCTGGGTGGAGTTTGCATGTTCTGTCCGTGCTGCGTTTTATCCAGGTGCTCCGGTTTCCTCCCACAGACCAAAAACATGCATGTTAGGCTGATTGGTAACTCTAAATTGTCCCTAGGTGTGAGTGAGAGAGTGAATGGTTGTTTGTCTCTATGTGTCCCTGTGATGGACTGGAGACCTGTCCAGGATGTACCCCTCCTCTTGCACAGGGATTGCTGGATATGGGCACCAGTGACACCCGCAACCCAAAAAGTAAGAAGTGGATAAAACTAATGGATGGATAGATCTTAGGGGTCAGATGAAATGTTAACAAGGGCCACGTTTGGCCCTCGGGCCTTGAGTTTGACACAGATGCCTTAAAGAGATCTTTGACTACTTGCACATATTGGCCTTATTATGTTGTTTTTTTCTCTATTCTACTAAAAGTTTTTTGTCACACATGAAAACTCCAAACACTATTTCAAAGGCACATTAGTTTCTCAGTACATTATTTACATAGAATTAGTAATATATTCATGTATACATATTTATATTCACACATGAAAAACTGGTCATGACCCACATCAAAACAAACATAAACATCAGTGAGGACCTTCACCAGTACGCATACCACAAGAATCAATCAACAGAGGACGCCTTCTCCTCTGGTCCACACTGCTCTCACCCACCTGGAGCAGAAGGACTCCTACGTCTGTATGCGCTTTGTGGACTTCACGTCTGCCTTCAACACCATGATTCTCCAAACCCTGATGGACAAACTACTCACACTAGGATTAAGCCCCTCCATTTGCAACTGGGTCCTAACTTCTTAACAAACAGACCACAGTCTGTGAGGATCTACAACTTCTCTTCCGCCACCATAACCCTCAGCACTGGCTCCCCTCAGGGCTGTGTGCTGAGCCCTCTCCTGTTCACTCTGCTCACGTACTATTGTGCAGCTACCCATCCAGGCTGTCATATTGTAAAGTTTGCAGATGATTCAATGGTGATTGGATGCATCACAAACAACGATGAGTCCAGCTACGGTGGAACATAGAGAACTGGTGCAGGAAAATGTTACGCCCCGACTTTTTGGAGGACAGGAGGCATTAAGATGACAACCACAATAAATTGACGGAGTCTTTGTAAAAGTGAAAGAAGAAAAGCTTTATTTGCGTTCTCCTCGAGTCTCTAAAACCTGCAAAATGTTGTGTGGGGAGAAAGGGACGGCTAGATTAGTGCCAAATCAAAGAACAAAACCAAACAAAACAGGGCCTAAATAAAAGCTCCAGCATACTCGGGCGGACCTCAGTCCGCGGAGGTCTGCGCGTACCGGATTAGACTCAACACGGATGCCCTCAAGGTATGTCCGTGCAAAGAAATTTTTATGACCGCATACTCGGTATCGCAGAATAAAGTGCACAGCAACAGACTGTTTTGTATGGAACACCCATCCATCCATCCATCCATTATCTTTACCCGCTTTTTCCATTTTGAGTCACGGGGGTCGCTGGTGCCCATGTCCAGCAATAACTGTGCGAGGGGCGGGGTACACCCTGGACGGGTCGCAAGTCCATCACAGGGACACATGGAGACAAACGAGACAAACAAACATTCACTCTCTCACTCACACCTAGGGACAATTTAGAGTTACCAATCAGCCTAACATGCATGTTTTTGGTCTGTGGGAGGAAACCGGAGCACCTGGAGAAAACCCACGCGTGCATGGAGAGAACATGCAAACTCCACCCAGAAAGGCACCCGGACCGGGATTTGAACCAGTGACCTGCTCCCTGAGCGGCAGCAGCTCTACCAGTTGCGTCATGATCTGGTTTAATGGCCTTTTCTTTTGTTTATTTTCCTAGAGGCAAGCGATCTCTTCTTCCTCCTCCGTTGATGCCATGACTGAAATTGTGAGAAATTATGGAATTTATCACGAGCAAATTAAAATCAGGTTCAGCATGGCTGCGGGAGGGTCTGGAGATTACCTGTTGGACTGGTCTGATGTGTGGGCTGCAGGGCTAGCGTTCCCTGTTTTTTTGTTTTTTTTGGGCGGGGGGTTAGAATTTTTTTATTAGCAATATATAAACACAGAACACCACTGCAGCGTGCTGCCAGCTCTTTTTTTTCTTTTGCGTCCTGTCAATCAATCCAGTAGGCGTGTCAGCAATTTGTCCCCAAGGTAAACGCCCCTTGTATGCAGAGCTGGCTGCAGCCGGTCAGGATGTACTGTATGCTCTAATATGAATAACAAAACTTAACGTACATGTGGGAGTGTACAGGATGCCCCAAACTTACCTAGTCCTCTAACTCCCACCACAAACCTTATACAAAGAGCACTCTTACAGATCAGCAACACAGATGCGCCAAATAGTCATCAGCATGGAGGTGAATAAAAAAAACCACACAACTCGGGAGAGCTTCCTTTATAGGGCAGGCTGCTGTGTTCATTCATACTCATCTGCTCACACAGACTTATGTTCATGCTGCTGTTTGGAGTGTTGCTTTTGTACTACTAGTGCTTTGTGTATTCTTAGTTTAGTGTTTTTCTTAGTTTATATCTTAGCTCTTACTACTTTTTTCTTTACAATTTATACTTTTGTTGGATGTAACTGCGACCCTGTGTACACAAATTCGTTCCACCACATGTACCACATGAGATGCGAATGACAATAAAGAAAACCTCAGTCTTGAACCTTGACCTTGATGTGATGGCCTCTGCCACATATTGGTAAGATCAGTTCACACATCAGTGATGATTTTAGCCTCTTTTTGGGGGTGCTCAAGCACTCCTAAATTTTAACTCGGCACCCCTGAAAAATTAAGAAACCATCATTAGGATTTTGTAAATATTAGATTCACCGAAATATTTAATAAATTTGAAATAAATATGGAATAAATGATGACACTTTTAAATGGGCCAGTAAAATCTGATTTTTTTATTTTTTGCACAAACCAGATCCTCAACACCACCTGTCAATCAATCCAGTAAGCTCATCAGCAACTGATAAATAAGCAGCCTCAATTTGTCCCGAAAGTAAATTCCCATTACCTTCAGGAGCAACACCTCCTTTTCCTCCGACAACATTATTAGGGTTTTGCATTCCAAATGCTTTGCAGTCAATGGCAGGGCTTAATTTGAGTCAGATCCTGCCAGAACAGGATCCAGAAACTCCCTTATTTTGACAGGTTGCGTTCCGTTAACTGTTTGCTTGGATCTGGTAACTCTCAGGCTTACTTATAATAAAGTTATGAACAAATATGACTGTCTTGAATGAATAGAGCTTATATTGGATATGTAAACTGAAAATAATTACATAAACACTAATTTTAAACACAACATCCACTTACGACTTCTTAATTTCGCATACGAGCTGCCCCTTCAAGAAGCATTTTCGCGTTTACCCTTAAAAACATCTCCACCCCTAAAAGAGTGGTGGGGTTGAGTGCCGACCGAGCTAACCAGGCAGTCGTATGCAGGCAGGAGCCCACAGGCAGTGGTCATGAACAGACGGAGGAGGCGCCTGGATGTTTCACATGTGGAGTCGGACAGTGAATTCAGCGGAGAAGAGTCGGGTGTGGAACCGTCAAGTGTGTGTGTGTGTGTGGGGGGGGGGGGGGGGGAGGATGCTTGACAGAAGCGGAGTGTTTACAAATCTAGGTAAATGTAGATGTTTAACAACCCATTAAAATACACCAAAATGCAGGAAATTGCATCTACTTTATTACAATTTTTCTGGGGAGGACCCCAAACCCCCTTGCCCACCCACTATTTGCATTCTGGCATTGATCGGTTTACAAATTAAGCCCTGGTCATAGGTTATCAGTTAAATTAAAGGTTAATGCTTAACGCTAGTTTTGCTTTGTTCAGTCTATTTTGTATGTAGATATACGTTGCAACTTCTGGTTGCATAAAGGTTAATGTCTTTGTTTGCTATGATCCTTTAAAAGTCCTATTTGTGACTGAGAGCCTCATCTACTGCCATACCACCTTGAACATGCCGGATCTCGTCTGATCTTGGAAGCTAAGCAGGGTCAGGCCTGGTTTGTACTCGGATGGGAGATTACCTGTGAATACCAGTTGCTGTAAGCTTTTGCACTTCTCAAAAACCACACCATGGTTGTTCAAGCCAAGAGCCATTATTAGTACTGAGGGCTAAGCAACCCTAAAGGCCAGATCCTAGAATCGCCCCTGCCACACACTAACCTCGATGGTTTATTTTGTTTGTAGTCAAACATGTGTTATGGTAATGTAATTGGTTTGCTTTTGTTTGAACCTAGCAGTGGTGTTGGGAAGCACACACATGTTAGCACTGTGTGGTTTTAACAAATATCCTGTATTATGTTTCTCTTTTTTTGGAGTAACCTGATTTGGGGAGTTGGCTGCTTCCTGACTGGGCAAGGGGTGTGGCCAAAGACAGAGGACTTTGAAGCACAATGGCATCTCAGCAGGACCAACCATGTGCTTGTCAGCAAAGGGTGGGGGTGGTTAGGTTTAATTGATCATTTGTTCAAAAAACGTTCATACAAAAAGTTGATCATTTGGTCCTCAGTTCAAGATTCAAAAATACTTCGTCTGTCACATATAACAGAGAATTGTCTTTGGTCTGTAGTAGAGGCTCAGATAGATTAAAACACAATAATAGAACACATAATCATACAGAAACATATCACACATAAAATCCCAAACCTCATACATACGATCATAAAATACCTAAAAACCCACAACTACATAAAACTTTATGCATATTAACATCTGCAAATCAACCATTTTCTTTTAGTTAAAAGGTTGAAGGTTGCAGTGGGAATTAAAAAAATCATACATTTTTTTCTTGCCAGGGATACTCTAAAATGGTTACCTGAAGGTAGGAGTAGAAATAACTGGAGAAGGGGGTGTAAAGGGTCCTTGGTGATACAGCTTTGACGACTATAAAGTTCTCTGAGATACATTTGAGGGGTACCGATAAGTTTAGCTGCTGGTTTGATAATTCTGCTGTTTTTTCTTGTTCTTTTCTGTAAGGAAATTGTACCATGACGAGATATTGAATGTAAGGACTGGCTCAACAAGTAACCGGTACACTATAGTTAAAATATCTTGTTTGACCTTGAAACCTTTTAGTATTCTCAGTAGAAATATGCATTGTTTTCCTTTTTGTATACTCCTTCTGCATGTTTGAGAAGTACAGGTGACAGTTGATCTCAGTACCTAAGTACTGAAATGCATCAGTCTGTTCCACCACCTGCATAATTAAGCTCTATTCGCACAGGATTAATTTTACCTAGGGACCACATGCTATTTGTAATAATTATGGAGATTGTCTGTGTTGTAAATCCCGTGTGAATTGCCCATGTCAGTAATTTGTAAAGTAAAAATTTCCCCGCAAATTACCTACTATATTTTGCTGAACTCCAAGGTAATGTAATAATACTAATCCAATGCAAATAGGCATCTCTGTGATTTGGACAGAAATGGACGGGATACAATACGTAATTAAGCCGTATTTGTTTTCTGGGCACATTTTTATTTGCCTTTGGCAATGGAGGCTGCATCGAAATGCATAACTAATCTTTTGTGCCCCTTACTAGCAAAAGCCTATCGACCCGTAATGGTAGCTAAAAAAAAAAAAAGAACGGGCTGAAGAGAAAAAGCAAAATCATATGCAAATGGTGAACACAAGCGGATGTTACGCAATTCACAGCGCATTAACATCGTATCCAGAATATGTTTGTAAATTTCAGCTAAATCTCAGGCTATGGTTATCCCGTGTGAATACGTCACATAAAAAGCAGACGTTGGGGGATAGTTTATTTATTACATGTGGTCCCTAGGTAAAACTAATCCCATACGAATAGGGCTATTGAGTGTCAGTCCATTATTGTTACAGGTTGTTTCATTGGTGTTGATGGAAAAGAGAATGGGTGACAAAACACAGCCAGTTAGTACTGATGTTTAGTTCTGTTTCCCCTGTTGTGCGGTCTGACCAAGTCATTATATAAAGAAAAATAAAGAATCCATCATTACAATTTTGTGAGGAAGCTTACTTTTCAAATCTTAGATTCACAGAAATATTTAATACATTTGAAATAAATATGGAATAAAGATGATACTCTTAAACGGTCCAGTAAAAGTTCTTTGCTTTTATATTTTATGATTTGCAATTAAGAATAACTGAAACCCATTTTGTTGTTGAAACAGCTTTATTTCTGAAAGGCATGATAGTATAAAATATGTGGAATCAGGTTTTGATAAGTCGCTTTAATAAATCACGATATGATCCAGATGCTGAAAATCATACATCTGAATTTATTCGAGAATTTGCAGGGGTATACAAGGATATACAGAATTTATTGTAAAAAAAATCATGAAAAATGGTGTTAAAATAATGTGACAAACAACACAAACGGACATAAACAAACATTTGTACTTGTGAAAACAGACATTTGGATGGAATTTACAATGGTTGGTGTGAAGAAAGAAAATCATATGACAACAAATCTGCAAGCAGCAGCAGCTAGCTCTAGAACTTGTGTTGTTTCTGCCAAAATAAAAGCATAATGCAAATTTTGCAGCAACGTAAAGTTTTATGATTTTATTTTTTATTTTTTGCACAAACCTTTATAGGCCCTTTTAGATCATGATTCCACAATAAATATGCAAACAAAGTCCTTGTCCATCACGTCATACACATTGATCCAGTGAGATCAGGGGAATACGTGCTTTAATAAAATGGGACCAGGAATCATGGAACTAAAGCAGCGTAGACTAGAAACAAACCTGAAATGTTGCTTAATTTAATCTTGTGCGCCCAGTGTATGTATGTATGTATATATATATATATATATACATATATATATATATATATATATATATATATATATATATATATATATATATATATATATACGTGTGTGTATGTATATATTTAAAAATGCAAAACGATATGAAGCTCTCAACCTTGACCTCTCTAGGTGGCTTCAAACAACTGCTAGGTTCCTGGCAAAAATCAGTGCTGACATATTCCTGTTTTTGGTATTTTACATCACTTTATACTAAAGCTGTTTTTTTTTATTCATTTGCTTCCATTTATTTTTCAATTTATATGCTCTTTTTATGATTGTTTACTGTCATCATTCTTTGTTAAAACAGGTCTCTCTTGTAGTTGAGTCCTCGAGGCTCAATGAGACTAACCTGTCTAAATAACGGTTGAATGAATGAATCGTGAGGTGGATCAAAAGGACAACTTTGACCACCACTGTCAAAATGACCTCTGATTTTTGACTCAAAGGCAACAGGAGTGTAGATCAAGGAACATTGTTACTTTTGAGCAGAAAATCTGATTGGAAACAATAGCAGTAACAAAGTATAGGCAATACTCCATGAACAAGTACTAGACTTCTGTTGGAAAGCTGTTAAAACAAAATGGATAAAACAAGATAACAGAAGGGAAGTTCCTGTAACACGTAACTTTAAAATCACCATCAACAATGTACTATCCAATTTTGAAATTTATACGTCTATAATAGCTGGCATCGTCAGCGTTGTTGATTGACAAAAGTCATATGTACAGTATATTAGAATGGTTTTTAAAATTGCACAAGAATCTTGCTAGAAAAATAATCACTTCTGTCAGCAGCCCTTAATGCCCCTAATTTTTCCAGTCAGTTTATTAGTGAAAGTAATAATTTCATTGATATACACAAAGGTTTTATGTTACTAACAATGTTAAGACCATCTACTTTCATTTCTTATTTATCATTATGGCACAGGGACCAGACTTCTTAGATTTTGACAGATAATTTAAATTTGGAAAAGACTTGGACATTGGTCAGTTTGAGGGTGTGTTAACCATCCTTTGGTTTGGTTGTTGGTTATAGATGCTGACAATGCCGTTGACATCAATAAGTTATGTGTACTGCAGCAGGTACTCAGGATAAATCTGGTGCTTCTCAAACACAACAAATATAGAGGGGTTTGTGACATTGTCCACACAGCTGTCGTAGAAGGTTGCGTTTCCACCATCTTTGGAAGGAGGTCGAACATAGCTAGCGGCTCCTTCGATGTAGCTTCCCACCAGCACCCGGGCGATGAACATGGATTTGACTAGAGTGTCGCCCGTGTACTTGTGGGAGTATGAAGCATCTCGAGCGAAGTAACTACCTGGGTTTTGGAAAAGATAATTTAAATAAAGCATGATTTTTATATGAGGGGTAAACAAACAAATCTGCAACCTTCTTCTTTTAGCTTCACCCCCTTCAGGGGTTACCACAGTGAGACATCCTCCTCCATCTCACTCTGTCCTCTGCATACTGTGTCCTTACTCCAACTACCTCCATATTCTACCTGCATCTATATATTTTCTCTTTTGCCTTACTCTTTGTCTTTTTTCTGGTAACTGCATTTCAAACATCCAGGGCTTAATTTGTAAACTGATTGATGCTGGAACAGCGGGCGGGCCAGGGGGGTGTGTGGGGGGGAGGGGGGTCTGTGGGTCATCCCACAGAAAATTTTGAATAACAGAGATGCTATTTCCTGCATTCTGGTTTATTTTAACGGGTTATTAATATCTACATTTACCTAAATTTTTGATTAAATGACTATTTTAGAGATCAACAGTAGGTTGTGTGTGAATAGAGAGCAGCTATTCTGTCTGGTGTCCTAACCCCCTCCTGCCTCCCCTCACTTCACAGTTCTGAGCTGAACTCTTCTCATCTGAATTTGTTGCTCCTGCTCTAATCTCGTGGCACCGTTTGAAGCATCTGAAGGCTTCAATTCTCGGTTGTCCAACTAAGGACCATCCATCTATTTTGTTTTTTTAATTAAAGTAAATTGTACTGTCTTTTTGGAGTTTTGATTGCTGTTGTTGTTTTGACAAATTAGCGCCGTTGTTTGGACACGTGATGCAATGTGAATAATACATAAAAACATTTCTCTCGTATTTTTGATTTATTTTTACAGTAAGCTTTTTTATTTATTATGTCTGAAATGTAGCAGGAGTTCAGACCCATCAGCAGTTGTGCGTGTGCTGTGTAGAGCTGTCTGGAGACGCTGTGCATAACGTGCACTGTCCACAAAGCATTTATTTATTCTGTTGAATTAATTTTTCTTTCTGCAGAAACGACATGCTGTTGAATGGATCACTTCAGCAGATTCATGTGGGCTGCAGATCCCCATCACCTTAGGTGATGGGGTGGGGGTCTGAGAGGAAGGGAGAGGGGGTGTTTTTCAGTGCACAGCGTCGGCGCAGCTGAGAGACAATGTTTGGAGAGAAGAGGACGCCACGCAGCACCTCCGTGCGTAAATGTGACCATCTGTCCGAGGTTCCTCTCCTGTTCCTCAGAAAGAGCGTGTGAGCGAGCTGGTGCGCCGCGCGTGCTCCGGCTGGAACATCCACTCCACGACTGGGTCTGCTGGGCTAAGGGCAGCATCTCCTCTCGTTGTGTTTTTAATAAATAATCAAAATTAAAATGCACAATGACTTTGGACTTTTAGGGGGCGAAGATTTGAATTGCCAGATCCGAGCAAACAGTCGCAGGAATGCAGCCTTTCAAAATAAGAGAGTTCCCGGATCTTGTTCCGACAGGATCCTGCTCAAATTAACCCCATGCTAACATCCTTCTACCAGTATACCCACTGTCCCTCCTCTGGGCATGTCAAAACCATCTCAGTCTGGTCTCTCTAACTTTATCGCTCAGTTGTGCAACCTGTGCTGCACCTCTGATGATCTCATTCCTAATCTTATCCATCCTTGTCACTCCTAAGGAGAACCTCATCACCTTTATTTCTGCCACTTCCAGTTCTGTCTCCTGTCTTTTTTTCAGTGTCTCTGTCTCCAGACCATACAACATAGCTGGTCTCACAACTGTCTTGTAAACATTTTTTTTGTTCTTTGCTGACACCCTTTTACTGCAAATCACTCCTGTAACTTTTCTCCATCCTGCCTTGACTCTCTTTTTAACCTTTTTACCACAGCCCATTTTTTTCGACAGTGAACCCTAAGTACTAAAAGTCCTGCACCTTTGTCACCTCTGCTCCTTGTAGCCTCACTGTTCCACCTCCTCCCTCTCATTCACACACATGTACTCTGTCTTACTACGGCTGACTTTCATTCCTCTTCTTTCAAGTGCATACCTCCACCTCTCTTAAGTTCTCTTCCACCTGTTTTCTGTTCTCACCACAGATCACGTCATCTGCAAACATCATAGTCCACGGGGATTCCTGCCTGACCTCGCCTGTTAGTCTGTCCATCACCAGAGCAAACAAGAAGGGGCTCAGCGCCAATCCTTGATGCAATCCCACCTCCACCTTGAAGCTATCTGTCACTCCTACAGCACATCTCACCACTGTCCTGCTGTCCTTATACATGTCCTGTACCAGTCCAACATACTTCTCTGCCAATCCAGATTTCCTGATGCTGTACCACAACCCTCCAGTAGGGTTTCTGGGTGTCTTTGTCTGTTTCCTCATGTTTCCAGTTCAGCTTTCAGTGTTTTCCCTCCTTGTGTTCAGCCCTTGTCTCACCTGTGTCTAATGTTAATCACCGCAGGTGTCTGTTATGTGTCCCATTCAGCTTGTGCATTTATTCAGCTCCCTTGTGTCTTGTCTTTGTCTCCAGATTGTCTTTATGGTGTGTTCTGTCATCCATCCTGTTTCCTGTTCGCTCTGTAAGTAGGCTGCCTCATCAGCTTTTTGCTTTGTTTTTAGAAAATAAATATTGTTTTTTTACTCTCGAGTCTGCTGTCATCCTCCTGCACTTGGGTTCAACACACCAGTTGGCAGAACCTGATACCTCCCTTGTCACCCTGTCATATACCGGTACTTTTTCTAAATCGACAAAGACACAATAGAGATCTTTCTGACCCTCTCTGTACTTCTCCATCAGCATCCTCAAAGCAAAAATGGCATCTGTGGTGATCTTTCTCTGCATAAACCATATTGCTGATCACAAATAGTCACCTCTCGTCTAAGTCTAGCTTCCACAACTCTCTCCCAGATCATCATTGTGCAGCTCATCAACATAAATCCCCTGTTATTGCTACAACTCTGTGCATCACCCTTATCTTATTCTTAAAAATGGTCACCACCAAACTTCTCCATTCCTTGGGCATTTTCTCACCCTCAAATATGCCATTGAATATTTGAGTCAAAAAACTCACTGGCATCTGTTCTAGACTATTTCGAATCTTGACTTATATGTCATCAGGTCCTACTGATTCTCCTTCTTCATTCTTTTCATGGATTTCAAAACTTCACCTTCACTAATCTTTCCCACTTCCTGGTCCACAGTTTCTATGGCCTCTACTCTTTTCTTTTTCATTCTTCATTCATTAGCTCCTCAAAGTACTAATTTCATCTTCCCATCACATCCTCATCACTTGTTAGAACATTACAATTCCTATCTTTAACAAGCCTAACCTGCTGCACATCCTTTCCAGCCTGATTCCTTTGTCTCACCAATTGGTACAAGCCCTTCTTGCCCTCTTTGGTGTCTACCCTACCATTCAACTCATCACACACTTTCTGTTTTGCTTTTGCTACCTCCCTCTTTGCTCTACATTCTCAGTCGTCAGTACACTTACGGCTTGCACTCTCAGGCCATCATTACCTGCACCGTTCCCTCAGTGCGTACTGAACTCGACAAATAGGCCTATTCTCACTTTGCTCCTGTAACCTGGAACACCTTGCAAAAAGATCTAACGCTGTCCACTTTGATCTCTTTGAGGGATTTTAAACAACTGACAAGGTCAATAGAAAAATCAATGCAAATATGTAATTTTAGTATTTTACCTTGTTTTATAATGCACCTTGATTTTATTGTTTTGCAGCACTGCTTTTTCGTTTTTGTTTTAATTGCATTTTGTTGTTTATTGTTGTCTGTGCACTTTATGTTATCTGTCTAAAACAGGTCTCTCTTGTAAATGAGTCCTCTCAACTCAATGAGACTAACCTTTATCAAATAAAAGTTGCATTGAATTGATTTGAACATTACATCTCATATTCCTGTCTCCTCTCTTCAGTCCTCTTACTGTCATTTTTCTTATTGGCTAACCTCTTTCTTTGAATAGCTTCCTGCACTGCACTATTCCATCACCAGGTTTTCTTGTCATCTTTTCTTTGTGCAGATGGCACACCAAGTAGGCCTACCTTTCTACCTGTCTCTCTTATTACTGTTGTTGTAATAGCCCAGCCTTCTGGAAGCTCTTTCTTACTATCCAGAGCCTTTAACAGCTCCTCTCTGAACTCCTCACAACATTCTTCCTTCCTCAGCTTCCACCATTTGGTCTTTCTCTCTGATTTTACAATTTTTCTCTTCACAACAACAGTCATTCTGCACACAACCATCTGATGCTGTCGGTCCACGCTCTTCCCTGCCACAACCTTACAGTCCCAATCTCCCTCAGGTTTCCTCTTCTACACAGATTTTAGTCAACCTGTGTACTCCTTCCTCTACTCTTATAGGTCACTCTGTTCCTCCCTCTTTTGGAAATAAGTGTTGACTGCAGCCATTTCCATTCGCTTGGCAAAATCCACCACCATCTGTCCTTCCTAGTTTATTTCATTGACGCCAAACCTACCCATCACTTCCTCATCCCCTCTGTTTCCTTCACCAACATGTCCATTCAGGTCTGCTCCGATCACTACTCCTCCCTGGGAATACTCTCAATCACCTCATCCAGATCTTACCAAAAATGTATCTTTCTCCTCCCCATCACATCCAACCTGTGGAGCATAACCACTGACAATGGTTAGCATAATAACTTCTACTTCTACCTACAGACACATCACCCTATCTGACACTCTTTTCACCTCTACTACATTATTTGCTATCTCCTCCTACAGGACCACTCTACCCCATTTCTCTTTCTATCTATACCATGGTTAAACAGTTTAAACCATGCTCCAATGCTGTGAGCCTTGCTGCCCTTCCACTGTCTCTTGGACACATAAAACATCTACGTTCCTTCTCTGCATCATGTCAGCCAGCTCTCTACCTTTACCTGTCATTGTCCCTACATTTAGAGTTGCAACCCTCAGTCCTACATTCTTGTTTTCCTTTGCTACCTCTGTCTGCTGACACGATTTCCTCCTCGTGGTCTTCAACCAACCAATATGCAACAGAACAGTCATGCCTAAAAAGTAAAGCCAAGTGGCAAAAAGTATTGCAAGTTCTTCAAAGATCACTTGAGGTTTCTCAAGGAAGAATTTTGAAAGTGGCTCTGATCAACACTTTAGCATGTCACACTGAGGTCCACCAGTGGAGCTCAAAGCATCCCAAAGTTCTGCTCCTAAAGACCCAGTCTTTTGTTGTTTGTGAGAAAATGGCATCTGCAGTGGGGCCTGCAGGGGTTTAAGAATCTTTGAGGAATGTAGGCCATTCACTCACCCATTAGAACTGACTGACCTAACCCAATGTTGGAAAAACTGAGATTGTGCCCCCTTCCCCCCTCCCAGTAACTAATTTGAGGTAAATATACTCTCAAGTAATATACTTTGTAAAATAACAACTATATTCACCAGATTGGCAAATAATACAAATAGTTTACAGGTCTCTCTTGTAAATGAGTCCTCGCGACACAACGAGACTAACCTGTATAAATAAAGGTTGAATGAATTAATACATTTATGCCCCTCTAAACAAATTTCCTTTCATTCTATGGCAACACAGGACATTGGTAAATGTCCTATTCATCTAATGATCGTGATGTAATTTATTTGTTTTGGACTGTAGTATTATGTATAGATGCAATTCAGATTTTTAGTCCTATTCTTTATAGTTTATATGGTTTATATTTTTGCAAAATGGGAAAAAATCTTAAGCTTAAACCACATTAATTCAAGCTTTATATACTGTATACAGGTTAGTCTCATTGAGTCACGAGCAGGGCTTAATATTATTTTTTTTAACTATAAAATCGTTGTAGTAAATCATTGCCTTTAGCTTACCTTTCCCAAAACATGTTCCATGAGTTCCACAGATCCTCCAGTCAAAGTTGTTACGGCAGATGGCGTCCACATGGTTGGAGTCGGTGCCATGAAAAAGCAGTTTTTCTGTTACATTGCATCCACCATTCTTCTTCATTAATTTCTTCTGCCTTCGTTTAAGAAAGACACTAAGCTTTAATCAAGTCATAAATTAGATGTTTGCTGAGATAAAGCAAAACATTCACTTTAATGCACAATAGTCTGCCGAACCACAAGGCACAACTACAGGATAATGCTAAATGTTGTAAAAATATTGAACACTATATAACCCTTAGCTATGTGTGGCAAAAAAAAAATCAGCTTATATCATTGCAAGTTAAAGGTAACCTTAAAAAGTTAATACAAAATAAACGACAAAAGGCTGTCTTTTTTTTTTTTTTTTTTTAGATTTTAGTTTACATACCACTTGAAGACTTTCCAAAGGGCTTTGTTCTTTATTCCCTCAATACTAATTATATTAAAGCCTTTCATAGTTCTGCAAAAAAGAGCTTGAATGTTTTCAAATTCATTTGATGTGTGCGTAAGGGGAATTCTCTGGAAAACACAGAAACAGATGCACATGTCAATATGTTGTTGCTTAAATGAATCAGAATAAATACAATTTTAAGATGTTACAGAAACTTTAAAATGGCCAACATTTAAATCCAGTGTTTATAGAAGGATTAGATAACTTGTGACTAGAGTATTTAATTAACAGGAAAGGGATAAGTGAAAATTGCTGAAACAATATAAGATGATCATAACAGAACGTGTATTTATAATACCGAGAATCCTGTTTGAGGCATCTGTGTTGTGTCCCAGTTGTCTTGCACAGTAGTAGTATTTGGTGACCTGCAGGGAAAAAAGTTTTGAAGTTTAAATTTACTTTGAGTCAGATGAGGGAAAAAATTAAATGAGGAAAAGCTAATTGGGAACATGAGCATGTAACTGCACATAACCTGTGCAAATATTTAATTTCCCAATTTTATTAATTCATTCATTCGGGGTTCCTACCTCACTGTATTTGCTTGGACATCTGCAACAGAAACGAACTGAGGACGTCTTCTCACTAACCTTTTTGTGCCAAATTGCTTGTTTGTTTGTATCATGTCTGAAGTGAAAAGAATGTAAATTTTAATAAATCTGAAACAAAGTCCGAGGGTAGAAGAGTTGTGCCCTGACTTCCTCAAGGTCCTGGGTGCTGCTGTCTATATCAACACTTCTGAACATGGAAGTCGGAGACAGTGTCTTGGAATATAGTGGTGGTCCCCACTTTTTACAAAAGGGAAGAGGAGGGTGTGGTCCAATAGGGGATGACATAGTCCTCTTGGGGAAGTTCATGACACGCTGTTGGAATGGAGACTTAGACTGATAAAGCAGCTGAGACAAACACATGGGGTGGAGATGGGGCCTCTTTGTGTGGACTGAGGCATTGACAACTTACACTAGAGAATTAAATCTTAAACCAACGAGTGGTATACTGATGTCCCCCATCACTGAAGGATTTGTACAGTGAATGTAGTTTTTGAGATGAGTGTTTTCTGGACTGGAATTGAACAGAGAATGCAAGTAAAAAAAATAGGAGTAACACTGTATAAGTATAGAGAGAGGTTTTGTTTTGTTCTTTGTCTGAGGCAGCGATGAGAGATGTATTATAGCAATCGGAGGGAACAATTTTATTTATCACCAGGTGCAATGACGGAGCCAGGGTGTGGCCAATGGGGGCCTTGGCCACCATGAATTAATCTTCAGCCACCCAGTCATAAAAGGAAACTATACTTTTAAGAAATATAAAACACCCTGTACTTCCACTTGGGTGGGTTCCCTTTGAACTTGGGTTCTCTACTAGAGACCTGGTAATTTGAGGGTTCTGTGCAGTATCTTAGCTGTTCTTAGGACTGCACTCTTCTGAACAAAGATCTCCGAGGTTGTTACTGAGATCTGTTGGAGCCACTCTTTCAGTTTGGGGGTCACAGCACGAATCCTCCAATGACCACTGGTACTACTGACACTCTCCACAACTTCTGTATTTGTTCCTTCAGCCTTTGGTATTTCTCGAGCTTCTCATGCTCCTTCTTTCTGATGTTACAGTTAGTTGGGAATGCTACATCTATCACTACTGCCTTTCTTTGTAGCTTGTTAATCACCTCGTTGTCCAATTGTCCCAGTCAGACATGCCTGAAGCATCTCCCTAGGGAAGCATCATGGGGGCATCCTTACCAGATGCAAAAACCACTTCAGCTGACTCCTCTCAATGTGGAGGAGGAGCGGTTCTACTCTGAGTGTTTCCAGGATAACTGAACTTCTCATCCTATCTCTAAGGGAGAGTCCAGCTATGCTCCAAAGGAAACTCATTTCAACCGCCTGTATTCGTGACATCGTTTTTTCCGTCACTACCCAGAGTCTGTGGCCATAGATGAGGGTAGGAACATTAAATGACTGCATTGGTTTTACCCATGAACTTGTGTAGGGACCAAACATCCTGTAGCAACGGGCCTCCAATCCCATACTCGTGGAGAACCCCTCACAGTGTACTCTGAGAAACACAGTCAAATGCCTTTTCCAAGTTCACAAATCACATCTAGACTGGATGGGCAAATTCCCATGACCCCTCAAAGACCATAGTGAGGATAAAGAGCTGATCCAGTGTTCCACAGCCAGGATGGAACTTGCATTGTTCCTCCTAGATCTGAGGTTCGACCAACAATCACACTTGCTTCACCAGTGCCCCTGAATAGACCTTACAGGGAGGCTAATGAGAGTGATGCCCCTATAATTGGAGCACACCTTCCGGTCTCCATTTTTGAAGAGGGGAACCACCACACCAGTTTGCCAATCTAGTGGCACTGCCTACGAATTCCACGGTATGTTGTAAAGGCGTGTCAACCAAGACAGCCCCACAACATCCAGAGGCTTAAGGAAATCAGGCGAATCTCATCCAACCCAGGAGCCCTGCCACCGCAGAGCATTTTTACTACCTCGTCGACCTCACCCACAATTAGACCAACCCGTAAGTTCCTCAAATCATCTTCCTCCATGGAAGACATGCAGGTGGGATTGAGAAGATCAGAGAAGTATTCCTTCCACCTCCATGGTCCACATTAAGGAAATGGTGACATATCTTTTGAAATGCAAACAAACATTACAGATTCACAATTTCTGGAGTCTCTTTACCTTGGAAGCTGAGTGAATATGAATGACTGCCAGCAGTAAACTTCACCACATCTTTATTTTTCAGAAACTTCTTCTCCACATATTTACTGTCAATGTCTGCTAGTTTGTGTTTGTGTCTTTGCTGGAAAAAGCAGAGATAAAGATGTTCAAATTCTCATTGGAATTGACCAAAACTAAACAGGAATGGAAATGATTTATATAAAATGGACAGTTCAGGTAGAACAGTTTGGTGACAAAGTTCAAAAGGCGAGGTGAGCCTATGGTTATGATATGGTTTGGACAGAAGAGGGACAGTGGGTTTTAACAGACAAAGAATGTTTAATATAGAGCTGCCAGTTCCAGGAGTTTATTTTATCAGATCTTTAATCTGATCTATTCACTGTTTTTTTTTTTTTTTATGTCAAGAGCACAAAAACAAACTGCCTTATTAATAAAACAATGAAAACCAAAGAAAAAGAACCAAAGAAAAGCTGTGTGTGGAAAAACTGGGTTCTCACTTGCTGCTTCCCTAGGATTTAAGAAGGAAATTATCAGCCAATTGCTGCTGATCAAAAGTATTACAGTAGTCCCTTGCTACTTCGTGGTTTGTTTTTCGTGGACTCGCTCTATCACAGTTTTTCCAAGTAAGATTGGGCATGACACACTGACACGCTGATTGATGGATGAGCCGCACGATCGGCATGGAATTCTTATTTAAAATAAATTATTTTATATTATTTGTCACCTGATGCACCTTCGTGCAGCTCAAACAGCTGCAGACAAAAATTCCTCCTGCACCTCTGTGCAGACAAACTGCAGGAGAAGATTCCTCCTGCAGCGTGTCAGGATCTCCGCTCTGCAGAGGATAAGTGGGCGTGGCCGAGAGCGCTGGCAGAGTGCAGCCGGAGGCAGAGAGCTGAAATCATGACACTGTGCTCTTTTACAATGTTTAGAGTTTAGAAACATTGTTTATATATATATATATATATATATATATATATATATATAAGGCATTTTAAACCCTTCCCACACTCTTGCAATATTCTACAGTGTGTGTATATATATATATATATATATATATATATATATATATATATATATATATATATATATAAACAAACTACTACTTGTACTACTCTGGGCTTCTGGGTACGGATCCCCCGTGATAATAAACAAGGGACTACTGTACTTGTTTTTAGTATTTTATCTTGTTTTGACCACCTTGATTTTATTGGTTATAACACTACTTTGATTTTTATTTTCTTTGCATTTTATTGTTTTATTGTTTATTGTTGTTTGTACCTTTTCTGTTTTCTTGTCTAAAACAGGTCTCTCTTGTAAATTCAATTTCAATTCAATTTATTTGTATAGCACCAAGTCACAACAGAAATCATCTCGGGCACTGAACAGAAACATTCATATATAAAAAAAATATAATTTAACATTATTTATCTGAGGAGCAGACTGCTTTAAGTTTAACTCCATCACAAAACTCTCATCTTGAGCATGAAGGCAACAGTGGAAAGGAAAAACTCCCTCATGAGGAAGAAACCTTTAGCAGAACCAGACTCAGGACAAGCGGCCATCTGCTTCAACCGGCCGGGTTTGAGAGGAACAGATACACAAAGGCAAGTTAAGAATCACATGTGAAGATAGAAATAGTATCAAATGAAAACTATTCAATTTTAACAAATAATTTAAGGAAATGAGGTAAATTTATCCTCTAGTAGTCTAAGCTTAAGACAGCATGACAAGCCGACCCTAACTATAGGATTTATCAAAAAGGAAAGTCTTCATCCCAGTCTTAAAACTGGACAATGTGTCAGCCTCAAGGACAGAAACTGGAAGTTGGTCCCACAAGAGAGGAGCCTGATAACTGAAAGATCTTCCCATTCTGCTTTTGGAAACTCTAGGAACCGTGAGTAAACCTGCAGTCTGAGAGCGAAGTGCTCTGTTAGAAAAATATGGAACAATAAGATATTGAATATAAGATGGAGCCAGGTTGTTGAGAGATTTATAGATTAGAAGTAAGATTTTGAATTCTATTCTGGATTTGACAGGGAGCCAATGGAGAGAAGCTAAAACTGGAGAGATATGATCTCTCCCACTAACTCCAGTTAAGACTCTGGCAGCAGCATTTTGGATCAACTGAAGACGTTTGAAAGAAGTATTTGGACACCCAGATAATAAACCATTGTAATAGTCCAGTCTAGATGTGACAAATGCATGAACCAGTTTTTCTGCATAATTTTTAGATAAGATCTTTCTAATTTTAGTGATTGACGCAGGTGGAAGAAGGCGGTTCTAGCAATGTTTTTAATATGGGTTAAAAGACATGTCCTGATAAAAATAACACCAAAATTTTTAACATTAGAGCTGGAAACGAGATTGTCATCCAAGGAGGGCGAAAAACTGAAAAAATTATTCCTAAGATGATCAGGTACAAAAACTAAAACCTCAGTCTTGTCTATGCTCAAAAGCAGAACACAGTGTCATCCAGGTTTTTATGTTTTTAAAAAATGCTTGTATTCTAAGTAAATGATTGGATTCATTGGGTTTCATGGGCAAATATAATTGTGTATCATCAGCATAACAATGATTTTTATCCCATGCTGTTTAATAACATTGCCTAATGGAAGCATAAGTTAAAGACTTCTGGTCCAAGCACTGAACCCTGAGGAACTCCATGACTAAATTTGGTGTATGATGAAGATTCATTACAGTAGTCACTCGCTACTTCATGGTTCATTTATTATGGACTCGCTCTATCACGGTTTTTCAAAATGAGAGTGGACATGACACACAATTGGCTGACTGATGGATGAGCCGCACAATCGGCATGGAATTTTTATTTAAAATTAATTATTTTAAATTATTTAGCACCTGCTTTAAATGTGTGGAATTAAAGGAAATCTAGGTGAAATGCTGCTTTTTTTATACACTAGTGTACACTTTTTTGCACACTGGTGCACGGCCTGGTTGAGCTACAGGTAATACAGATAATTTTGAGCTCTTTCAAAGTTTCTAGTAGAAATCTTGTGTCGCTCACCTACCACAATAAAGGTTGAATGAATAGTTGGGTCACTTAACCAACTTTAAGAATAACAAAAAATTCTCAAAAAAAATTTATTAATTCAACATTTATTTATACACGTTAATCCCATTGAGCCTCGGGGACTCATTTACAACAGGGACCTGATTTTACCAAAGAGTGATGACAACAGTGGACAACAACAACAATCATAAAAGATGCGTACAAATTCAGGATAACAAGTGAAAATAAAATGGTATTAAAAACGTGTAACCAAAAAACAGCTAGGTTGTAAGGCAATGTAGAGACTAAAATCAAGAACATGTCTGCATTGGTTTTATCCAGAAATTTAGCAGATGTTTGAAGCCACTTAGAGAGGTCAAGGTCAAGAGCTTCAGATCTTTTTGCAAGATATTCCAGGAAATAAGAGCAGAGTAGGAGAAGGTCCTTTTGACTAGTTCAGTCCTCACTGAGGGGACACTGCAGGTAATAATGTCCTGAGAGCGCACGCTGTAGCTGCACTCATGCAGAGACATGTAGGAGGAGATGTATGAAGGCAGCAGACCAAGAAGTGATTTAAAGATGAAAATGTACCAGTGAGAGAGTCTGAGTGAAGTTAATGATGTCCAGTTAACCAGTGAATACAGGGTGCAGTGGTGGGTATGATAGTTACAGCCAGTTATGAATGTATGAATTTGGTGAACTCACATTTGTACCGTACAGATTCCATTCTCCAAATTCATTCTCCCAGTACCAGCACCACTTTGTGGCGTGGATGAAGTCCGTTTTTTTCCGAGAGTTTGGAGTTGAGAGTCTCCTTACTTTGCTTTGTCCACATCTCATTAGATCAAAAGAAATCCGTGATTTGCCACTGCTGTAGGACACAAAATTAAAAATGTATTAATTTTACAAGGTTATACTACTGTTACACTACACAAACATTGACATACTAAATGCAGAATTCACTAGCAAAAAAAAACAAAACAAAAACATTTTATTACTTTAGGATTTATTTTAATTTTGGCATATGTTTTTATGTCGGGAGGACCTTTCAGGATTTTTTTTTTTCTCAATGGATAAAGTTTTTGAGTGAAGGCATAACAGCACCATGGTTAGAGGACACTAGTTTTCCCACAGACACAATAAATATATGTAAGGTTAACTAGTAACTAAATTACCAGGTAACTAAATTGTTCCTAGGTGTGAGCCAGAGCATGAATTGCTTGTCTCATTTGTCTCTGTGATGAATTTGTGACCTGTCCAGGGTGTACCCCACCTCTTGCACAATGACAGATGGAGATGAGCACCAGCGACCTCGTGACCCAGATAAGAAACACAGGTAAGGAAAATGGATGAATGATTATTGAGTTCAGCAAGCAGAGTGTCAGTTTTGGTGATTACAAGAGACTTGGTAGTTTAGTTAAAAAAGTCAAAAAAGGTAGCTAGTCCATACTAGATCAAATAATTTGCTTTTAATAATAAACTAATTTTAATAAATATCTAATTATAGTTGAATCACAGTGGTACTAAAGTCAATTCAGCTGCCTCGGCAATGGAGAGACAGAACACAGTCCACTCACTTCAGTGTTCCCCATCTCTAGCACCAAAGTCAAACAGTTAAACATTTCTCAGGTTTAGATCAGAGGCCGTTCATTCCAGTAACACACTCCCAGTTACACTGTTACTATCCATGTGGGCATGGAAGTCACCCAGTAGAATAATGGCGTCTCTAGCTGGAACACTTCTGCACAGGACTGGGTACTCCAAACTGCCATTCAGTGTATAGGCACAAACATTAATAAAAGTTTTGAAACTACTTTTTTTTGGTGGCTCACCCACTGTCAGTCAGATGCACCTGGAAATTAATTTCTAACTATGCTTCTATGTCACTTGCTGTCATTCTAGAGTTGCTGACAAATGTGTTACAGTATGTTAGCACATATAGCATCATATAGGTTAGCACTTGGTTTTATTTATTAATTTTTTTGTTGGAATGACATTTGTTTTCTTTTGGCTCAACCCAAAATACCATTATGCACAGTTTTTGAAGGTGCTTTTGTTTCTAGTCAACCAGAGCATCACATCTAGGATGGAAAGTGAATAAACACATGATCAACTGGCCAACCTACCATTAAAATATTTTAGGGAGCAACTAAAAGTTTAGCCTTACTGCTCCTCGCTGTATTGTGACCACCAAAAACAAAGTTTAAACTCTGCTTGCTGTACTTAACATCCGAGACAAAAAAATATGTCACTCAAACTTTCTAACCAACGAGGATGAAGCTGTAAAAGACGCTCCCACTAGAAACATTTTGCCAAAATTGGAAGCAAAAAGTCAGGCCGCTCAAAAGGACAAAACTGTCCCTGCAACCTAAAAAAGACAATAAAACCCTCAGTCAGATATTTGACGTGTACGTTTACAATTGTCTACCACATTACAATTCATCACAGAATTGCAATTTTGTGATTTATTTATTTATTTTAGTTATTTTAAAATCAAGAATCTCTCATGGGTCCTGGTTACCCTGGATGACAACTCTGTTCCACATGATGGAACATGGGTGAAATCTGGAAAACCTTCATTTTGATAGAAATCAAGAAGCTGCTGATTGTTTGAGTTCAGCAGTAATCCGTCACCACTATAATCCTAACTAAAGTCCCCACAGTATCAAAGTTCATGCTCAATCATCCAGGCACCTTATCCAGTAATGCTCAGTCAGGTCATCTGGACAGTTTCTTTTTTTTAATAGAAAGACATTTCGTCCTCTATCCGGAGGGCTTCATCAGTCTGAGGAGTCCCAAGTAAACTGTTGTCCCACCAAGCAGTACACTCCTTAAGTGGACCAACCAGCTTGCTGGAGATAAGATGGTTTCTGGGGGCTGTCCTGTCCCCTGTTGACTCCTCCCAGGCAGGCAGCCACAGCCAAAGTGGTTCAAGGCAACAAAGTTCATGCTCAGTCATCCAGGTACAAAATATTGGGTACCCAGGGTACTTGTAAGTGTTAAGTGTAAGTGTACATTGTAGCATGAAGGGGCCAAAGCCAAGGTTGCAGTAGATTACACAATGACTGTCAGCAGGGCTGGATTAAATATTTTTTTCACGATATTGCCATAAAAGTGAACGAACATCTGTTTATGAAACTGCTGCGCTCATTTGTAATCTCTTTTATTACTATAGTCTTAACGTCCCCTGAGTACCTGTAAGTGTTGTTTGGGTCGCAGTAGTCCCTCTCAATTCTCTCGTTATCAGGCAGGTTGGTCCACTGATCATGTACCTGAACCTGCCATCTGTACGGCATCTTGTCATGAGCATAAAAACATTGACCTGAAAGCACATTGGTCATTAAAAAGGAGGCATTTAGCAACAGACAAAATGTATTTAATAAAGAACCATCTCAGAACTCACCCCTGTGCTTACAGTAGCCCTGAATGAAGCGCAAGCATATCTCAGGATCCATGGTTTCCACTCTCTTAGGTTCAGTTCGACACTGTTGGTGGAAAAAAAACCTTCACAAACAATCGGGTGTAATCCTCATCTAATTGAATAACACAAAGCTTTGTGGAGAAATAGAACACAGAAACAAATCATTACAAGTGCAGAAACTCCCTTCGTACAGTCTGACTGCAATCTGATGTCTAAACAGATGCAGATGGAGATGCTGAGGCGCCGCAGAAAACAGACATCTATCAAGGATTCCCCGGGAATAAATCATTGTGTCTATCATAACATTCAGTCTCAAACAAAATTAAACACAACCTCTGCTGCCTTCTTAGAGTCAAATCAAGAATGATTGTAATTTAGAGAGAATCATGGAAATGTAATATCATTCAGCATGACAGCAAATAAGTAGAAAATGTTATACAGGTTATAAATATAGTAAATAATAATAGAGCATGATGCATACAGTATGTAGCCTCCCTTGAAATGCACCACACTATTAAGAGGCCAGTTCCTGCTTGGTTTATGGTACCACCTCATTCGTGGTTCCAAACATTTTGATGTTGGCAGACTGCAGCCGTTGGTTGGCCCAACTAGTGGAGCAGAATATGAATTATGAAGATCCGGTCCACTTTGCTTTGATGAGCCCACCCAGAGTGGGGTTAGGGTTATTTATTCTAAGTTCATAAATGCAACATGTCACCTTAGGACTTTCACCCAAGGAAATAATTATACTGATAACAAACGGCACTTACGGTAAGTTTGTTTCGAAGAGGAAGCAGGAAACAGAGTTCCAAAGGTGCAAATGTATAAAAATTAACATATTTTTAAAAGCATTTAAAAATGGAGGCAGTGTTGTCCGTTACAAAACAGAAAAAAAAAATTAATCAAGGCTGAGGATTACCAGATATGGACAGTTCAAAGAAAGTGGTGAATCTAAATATTTCAAATAATAATAAAAAAAAACCCACTCTGAGCCCACACTGTTCAGGAGAAGTGGAAAGGACCTGTCCCCCACAGCACAAGACACAGGAGAGCCAATACAAGAGCCTCGACCAACACCTGTAGCTCTCAGCCTATAACAAACAACAGAATAAACAATCAAAAACAAAATTAATAAACTAAAATCAACCTCAGTTTGGCCGTAAATAAGTAAAATGGTTAAAACTGCCTGAAATTTACTTTTATTAATACACAAAAATTAGCAAACACAATTAAAGTTCTAGTGACCAGTCCCCCCCCCCTCTCCCCCCCCACACACACACACACACACAGCACATTGTCAGTGACACAACACACTGGAAAATACAGAGTTAAGAGGGCTGATGAAGGGGGAACAGAGCAGGTCAGACCCAAACAGAGCACGGACCGAGCCAGGATCAGCCAAGCAAAGTAAAACTAAAGTGAAAGTAAAAGAGAACAAAGCAGCAAAACATCTTGTTGGACTGAAGTGACTTTAATATCAAAATAAATATAATCATTCAAACACTTTAAATGTGTAAAAAGCTGAATATGAGGACAGGGCATACATACCACATCTGCTGAATCTCACCACCTGAGAAGAGACTGTGACCCCCCCCCACTGGCAACAGGTGATTTACCGCATGACTGAAATAAATCAAATCGATCAAAGGCCAAAGTTGTAACCAGCCGGTGCAGAGGAGAGGAAACTAATGGATACAATCCTTTCATCATCTTTTTACTCAAATCAGCCTCTCTGAGGACACAAAGAGTCTTCAACCCAGTTTACTTACAATGGCAGACAGTCACGAGGAAACTTTTACAGATGCACACATTTAAATCCCTTTAACCTCGTCTGTGAGAATATGCACCAGACAGAGAGGTAGGGAAAGCTTTAATAGACATTATCGGGCACAGGCGTGATCAAGATGACCTCGTCTTTCCAGCAGATGAGGAGAAGGCTTTGGAGTTCATGGAGTGTGCAGGCGCCGTGCTCTTCAGAGAGGAGCCTGCAGGCAGACAAAGCAACTCTAATTCACACACATTAGTTTAACATCAGTTCAACATCCATAACCTTTACCTAAATTCCCCTAACTGAAATGATCATGTATTTAATACTAGAGGGCAATGGCCTTTATTGATCCTTTCTATCCATATAAAGAAATTAAATTAATAATTTAACTTTGACAGTAAATGTTCCTTAAGAGACTAATTGACCACATCCGAAAATACTACTTTATAATAGTTTATCCACAAAAACTAATCGATCATGAAGTGTTATCCAAGCTTGACATGAAAGAAAAAAAAAGTAAGAAAATTTGTTTTACATTTGAACTTATCTAAAATCTTTAGTTAATTTCTTAATAAAGGTCTTTAGTTAATAAAACAAAAACATAAAAACCTACACATTTCAGTTTTGTGAATATAGATAAAATATTTATTTTATGGCAATTTTGGGGAAATTTTCCTCAACATTTTCCTCCATATAGGCCCAAAATGATTTTATTTAAAAAAAAAAAAAATTAATTTTAATTTCCATCCACAGTTTTGTGAAGACCTTCGTCACCAGACCCTTCAGGTCCGGTAGCCGAAAACAAAGCCTTGTTTTTGATCCAATATACTCATGTCTGTTCGGACATGGAGATCTTTTTAATTAAAAACTATCATTATTATCATTATTTACTTTAACCATGGTAGAAACACTAGATTTTGAATTCTTTTTGGCTTTTATTGACCCAGTTATAGTAGTGAACTGCTGCAGCACGGTGCATCCACTACTGACCTCCTGCTTTTGGGAACACCAACAGGAGTCAGCCGTTCTGAGCCGTGGAATGTCCAATTTTGCAGCCTGCATACATGTACATGTAAAACAGATATATATATATATATATATATATATATATATATTTAAACAAAGTCTTTTTATTGATTTTTTGCATTTTTAGTAACACTCACAACAATAGAACAAAATCCCACCCCATCCCTCCCACACCGGATCAGTCATACATGCATAAACAAGAGCTAATCAAACAGGCACTGACAAGTTTTCCGCATATGACATAAACGGCTGCCATGCGTCTCAATCTTTTTACAGATCCCTTCAGGGTATGTCTTATTTTTTCCAAATGAGTCACCTCTCTTATCCAATGTACATATGCTGGGGGGTGTGGGTCCTTTCATTTGCAGAAAATTATCCTCCTGGCCAGGAGAGTGCCAAAGGTAATCACATCCCTCTCGCATTTGCTGAAGGACGTATCCACAGGGACCACCCCAAACAGTGAAATGAGTGGGGATGGGTGAACAGTTTTGCCACATATTCCAGAGAAGGTGCCAAATACAGATTGTCAAAAAGTCTGCAGTTGGAGACATGTCCAGAATGTGTGCAGAAGTGTAGCTGATGAGATTCTCATGACTGGGCTCCATGCATGTAGAACTTCTGTACAGCTGGCACTGGTAATTGTGACAAGCAGCAGTAGGGCGTGTGCTGGGTGTGTTTTGTCATCATTTTCTTTGTTCCTGTCCTTTGTTTTTTTTGGTTGCATTTAACTGCATACGGTGGTAGAAATAACCATGGACTATCCTTGTCTGGTTGATTTATTTTGGTGCTTTTTGCACTTTTTGTCAATTTTTTGCCAGACTCTGTGTGGACCAGATATGGCTGCAGTATGGCCGGGAGTTTCTGCTCCTGATGCGGGACTCTGGAGCGGGCGCTGTGGAACCCTCTGCAGTTTTGCCAGTGGACATCCTCCAGATGGAGACCTCAGCTAAGAACCGGTGCTGGGAGCAGAAGCAGCCAGGCGTAAAGAAGCGGGGAAGACGCGGTGGTCTTTGACAGAGGTTGAAGTGGGGGGCAGGTCTCGCTCGTGTGCCACTTCCAACCAGCTTCAGGCTAATGTGAAGTTTCTGGAGGAGTACAAAAGTACCTGTGTTTTGGCACTGACAGAAACTTGGCTCAAGGACGATGACTTGCAATCGGACCTGGCGACTTCGGTGAGCCCCCTTGTTTGGACAGAGACCCCACCAGGACAGGTAAATCACTCGGTGGAGGACTGTGACTTTACGTAAATAAAAAATGGTGTAACACAGTTATCATCAGTGAGACGATGTGCAAGCCAGACATCAAACTTTTCTCTGTGTCTCTCCACCCGTTTTATCTGCCAAGAGAATTCCCAGAGCTTTTTATAACGCTTGTGTACATCCACCCTGAAGCTAATACGGAGCTAGCTACTCAGGCTTTGCTAAAAACAGTGCAGCAGTTTCAGAAGATCTCACCGGACGCTCCTAACCTTATTATAGGAGATTTTAATCACTGCAGACTCGGAAAGTCACTTGAGAATTTTTATCAATATGTGTCGTGCTCCACTCGACTTACAAAATGTTTGGACCTGTGTTACGGAACTGTGAAAAACGCTTTTAAATCTCCGAGCGGAGCTCTGATTGGTTCATCAGACCACAATATTGTCTATTTGATCCCACACTACAAACCCGTCCTGAGGAAACACAAGCCGGAGCAACATTTGGTTCCGGTTTGGTCGGAAGAGTCCATCCAGAATCTTGTTTTAGCTGCACAGATTGGGATTTGTTTAAAAGTAAATGCTCAAATTTAGAGGAACTTACTGACATAATTTCCTCTTATATTAATTTTTGTGAGGGATCAATCATTCCCAGGAAATTTGTCATTAAGTTTTGCTAACAGTAAACCATGTATCTCCAAATCAGTAAAAAAAAACAATGCATTTGCGCAACATTAGCTTCAAAAAGGGAGATTTGACTCAATACCACATACTAAAAAAACAAGTGAGGAAAGAATTAAAAGTAGCTAGAGTAAACTATAAAGAGAGAGTGGAAAATATGTTCAGGTCCAATAACTCCCGGCTGGTATGGGAGGGGGATAAGTATATGATGGAGGTATCAAATAAGAAAACTCACATCACTCTTCACTCCTCATCCGCAGTGCGGTGATTTTAATTCATTTTACAATCGTTTTAACACTAATGATTTTACAGAGAAGCTTTCTGTTTTCAAAGAAACGCTGTCAGGTGCAACAGTGAATATTGACATTGGAAGTGTGCTTAACGTTTTTCAAAA